GTTACCGACGTAGTGTTTTGTGTCTTCGCATGGGAGATGCGTCAACCACATGCGTAATGCATCAACCCAACTTTCTGCTGCCGCTTTCAAACGACCGACAAATGGTACATTTCCCGATGCCATAGGTGCTTGCAACGTCCATGCTCGAAAATAGGTCATCGTCAATCTTGCGTTCGCTTCTCGTTGGCCGTCCTTGTGCAAAGGAACGGGCGAATTTTCAAAGTGCGGGCAGCATGGGCGAAGACGCCGTTGGAGATAGCAACGATGTCGCAACTGTTTCGTTGCGGTGGTCTCTTGTAGACCAATGCGATTGGGTGTCCATGACACTATTAGCTGGTAATCGCGTTCCGGTTGCAACTGTATTTTCTTATCTGGGTCCGTTTCTCGCTGCATTTTTTGAATACCAGCTGGTGTTAGGGTCACATCCCAACTTGCCTTATCTTCGTGATTCCATTCACGTTGTGTTGTTGGCACGCGGGCAAGTGTGACCGCCCATTCCGCAACAAATTCATACGGTGACAACCACCACACTTCGGACGCAACAGGTCGGTGACCGTAAACTTGCACAATGTCGACAGCACCTAGATGTCGGACACCAGAGGCTTGTCGCCGTGTCCACTTTGTGGTGGCGCGCTTGGTTGCTATCCTGTCAGGATGTGTTCCATTTTGTTCGACTGCACGTGCGGCCATTGGGTTGCTTATGCTTGATTTGAATTCGCCCTGACTTTATGGTGCTTTGGACAGAAGTTCCACAAGTAGGGCACGCATGCGAATAGTGCTGCGTGGGCAATGTGGGCCGGAGTAGCCCATCATGCACGCGAAATTGTTTCCCACAAATGCGTCGGTGGTTGATGTGTCCGGAAGCAATTGGAGTTGTGACTAAATCATGGCAAAAAGGACACGTGTACACATAAAGCCGCTGCTGTGGTGCTGCTGCGGATGCTTGATTCAAATTTTCTTCGGTTACCGTCTTTGCTTGTGCGACGTGGGGCGTCGTCATCTCATCTGCATCTTTTCTTTCACATGTCGCGGGCTGACCTGTGCGTCTTTGTCGCTGTTGGGCAATTGCTTCCCAAGTCTCGCGCAGCACTTGATCGTGGCGCAATTTTTTCCGAAGCGGTTCCAGTCGGGTTCGGCTGGAGCTGGCAGCACGTTTGCGGAGCTTGCCCTGCACGAGCGCAGCGTGGCACGCATCGCATGTCTGCGTGCCATCTTGTCCAGAAGGCCGTTTTGCAATGAAGGTAGAAAATTGTTGTCGCGACTTCTGTACGTGACAAGATGCACACTTCCATGTGCCCCGGGTTTTCGATTGGCATTGAAGGCATGTTCTTCGCTGTGGGTTTTTTTGTTTTCCAGGCTACGGCACCGAAATATTCCTTAGTTTGTTTTTTGTTACAAACGAAACATGTCTTGACAGCATCACAGGACAAGCACACCCGGTAAAGGCTCCACCGTGGATTTTGATGCTTGCATGCAAAGTGACAAGCAGCGTGCCATAGGCCGCACTGGGTGCATCGGTAAGGTGTTCCTGCCTCGCGCTTCTGCGCGGTGCATTCTTTGCAGACCCGATAGGTCTCCTGTTTCCACTGCGCTTTGGTGAAAGCGTCTTTGCGTTTCATCTCCCCACACTCGTGGCACGGCCTTTCATCCAAGTACTTCTTGCGCAACGCATCCCAGTCCACCGGCTCCTGCTTCCACACGTCCAGCAGAAGTTGCCGTCCCAGCGGCAGGCCTTCTTGAAAAGGCGCCAGCGGGAACGGTCGGTAGATCAAGATCTTCTGCCGTGTGCGGCAGCGTGTCATCCCAATGTACGCCGCTATTGGGTCAGCACCGATCATGTCGACGATCACGCCCGGCTCTATTGTGCTTCCTTGCGCGCCGTAGAACGTGTCGGCGAAGTCGGGCGCGATTGGAAACTGGTAACGAGTCACTTTCAATTGTGGGTTGGCGCGGCCCGCATCCAAAAACCACATTCCACTTTGCACGCTGACCGGGAAGACGTTCTCTTGATCGCTTCCTGGAATTGTCCAGCGTGTTCGTGTTTCAAAACGCACAAAAATATTTACATCTCTTAAAGGTGTTATTTCGAGTTTCTTTTGCGTTTCTGTCGGGTTTCATGTCGGGTTTCATTTAGGGATTCTTTCCGACTTCCTTTCGGGTTTAATTTCGAGTGTTATGTGAATTTCTTATCAGAAAATGTTGTCAAGGTTTTCAAACATTCATGTGGGTTTCTTGAGAGTTTCTTTAGAGTTTCATTTCGGATTTCGTTCATGAGGGGTCAAAAAAACACGGGGGAGGTCAAACAAACAAGGTGGGGGATCAAAAAAAACAACGCCCTCGTATACTTCGATAAAATATCATGCACCTGTGCGGCGCAACCATGCACCTGTGCGGCGCAACACTAGCTGTATAATAATAGGGCCAAAAATATCGTGTATATATACATATATATATATATATTTATCTAACTATTATACAGTTACTTAGATCCATGAACCCATAAAATGAACCCATAAAACCATAGGATCAGAATATTAACATGTACTCAAATGAAAAACCCATTTACACATGAAAATTCAAACCTATCAAATTTATTTCACAACGATATACATGGCAAAAAGGTCGAGAGCCTCAAGGTGCGATACATTTCATTGCGTTACATTGCAATGCCTTACATTGCATTGCATAGCATTACATTGCCTTACATTGCGTTGCATTACACTTCATTGCATTGCTTTGCATTACCTTTCGTTGCTCTTCATTGCAATGCAGGGCATTGCATTGCATTACATTGCATGGCATTACATTGCATTACATGGCATTGCATTACATTTCACTGCATTGCATTGCATTGCATTACATTTCATTGCTTTTCATTGCAATGCATTGCATTGCATTACATTGCATTGCATTACATTGCTTGGCATTACATTGCATTACATTGCAGTCAATTGCATTACATTGCATTCCATTACATTGCATTGCATTACATTGCATTGCAGTGCAGTACATTGCATTGCACTACATTACATTGCATTGCATTACATTGCATTCCATTACATTGCATTGCAGTACATTGCATTGCATTACCTTGCATTGCATTGCATTGCAGTGCATTGCATTGCATTGCAGTGCAGTACATTGCATTGCACTACATTACATTGCATTGCATTGCATTACATTGCATTCCATTACATTGCATTGCAGTACATTGCATTGCATTACCTTGCATTGCATTGCATTGCAGTGCATTGCATTTCATTGCATTGAATTGCAGGCTTTCATTTATGGTTTCTTTAAGTCAATTTATGATTTCTTTAGGGTTCATTTTGTGTTTCATGTAGGGGTTTCTGGCAGCAATTCATTCGGGTTTCTTTCGGTTTCACCTACGGTGTTTAAACTTTCATTAGGGTTTTATTTCGAGTTTCTTTTGCGTTTCTGTCGGGTTTCATGTAGAGTTTCATTTAGGGATTCTTTCCGATTTCCTTTCGCGTTTAATTTCGAGTGTTATGTGAATTTCTTATCAGAAAATCTTGTCAAGGTTTTCAAACATTCATGTGGGTTTCTTGAGAGTTTCTTTAGAGTTTCATTTCGGATTTCGTTCATGAGGGGTCAAAAAAACACAGGGGAGGTCAAACAAACAAGGTGGGGGATCAAAAAAACAACGCCCTCGTATACTTCGATAAAATATCATGCACCTGTGCGGCGCAACACTAGCTGTATAATAATAGGGCCAAAAATATCGTGTATATATACATATATATATATATATTTGTCTAACTATTATACAGTTACTTAGATCCATGAACACATAAAACCATAAGATCAGAGTATTAACATGCTCAAATGAAAAACCCATTTACACATGAAAATTCAAACCTATCAAATATATTTCACAACGATGTACATAGCAAAAAGGTCGAGCTGCCAGCTTTGCTTCCTTGCCACTTCTTCCGGGGTCGGCGGCAGGGGCGGCAGCCCTTAAATATATATATAAATACATATTTATTTATTTGCATGTTATAGATACATACATATAAATAAACATATTCGTATTTAAATATACACATATATAGATATATACATATATATATATATAGACACACATATATACATATACTCACATATACAAATATGTACACATACATATATATATATATATACAAATAAATTTAATATACATATATCTATATATAAGAATATATTACATATAAGCATATATACATATATAGACACCCACAGGGGGGGCGGGGAACATAGCTCCTGTATATCCATACCCATTCCTACTACTATAACTACTACTCACTACTACATACTACTAACTACTAACCCCCCCACCCCCCTACCCACCCACAGGGGAGGGCGGGGAACATAGCTCCTTATATCCATACCCATTCCTACGACTAGCTACTACTCACTACGACTAACTACTACTACTACTACTCCTACTACTCCTACTACTCCTACTACAACTACTACTCCTACTACTCCTACTACTCCTACTACTCCTACTACTCCTACTACTCCCACTACTCCCACTACCCCCACTACTCCCACTACTCCCACTACTCCCACTACTCCTACTCCTAATACTACTACTCCTACTCCTACTCCTACTACTACTACTACTACTCCTACTGCTACTGCTACTGCTACTGCTACTCCTACTCCTACTCCTACTCCTAATACTACTACTCCTAATACTACTACTACTACCACCACCACCACGACTACTACTACTACTACTGCTACTGCTACTGCTACTGCTACTACTACTACTCCTACTACTACCCACCCCCCCACCCACACACAGGGGGGGGCGGGGAACATAGCTCCTGTATACCCATACCCATTGGGGGGTGAGGGGGGGGGACCTGGGAGGGCTGCATCATATCTATTAATATTATATACAAATATCATAAAATATATCTAGTAATTAGTATAAGTTTGGTAGAAACGATCCAGCTACAGGACTAAAGCTATACCCAGGACCGCCCTTGCCTCAATCCACAGAGCGAGCAGGTTTCGCGTTAGGCCTTGGACAAGGGCAGCTATGGAGCAGGTTCGCTCAATAAAAACTCTGACTTGCTGGCAAAAGATCAATTATTGTGTCCTGAGAACACATGTTTTGGTTTTCGAAATCATTTTTTTCTGTTGAAGTTAAATATCATTGTCCCCATTTCGATTGCACGATCCTCATTTTTCTAATTTGAAAGCTGGTGTTTAGGTCCTATTCGAAGTCCAAACATCTTGGGACATTCGCGAAAATCACGGTGTCAAACCTATGATGTTCATTGAATTTCCATGTAAAATGTGAATATGAATGGTGGAATGAACATTCAGCTATACCCACAACTATATTGGTTTTGAGGTTCGGCAAGCCCCAAAAACATCGAAAAGTAACATCATACACAAAATCCGACTAAAATAAACTGCAATTCTAACAATTTCTATCTCTACTGTGGGTTACTAAGTCGCTTTGTCTGAAAATGAGCTAGGCATGGCTACGCCTAAATCCCATGGATTAGCATCATTTCCCTATTAAAAATTGCCAACTTGGGGCATAACCAGCAGGCAGTGAGGATCCAACGGTGCTTCTGCGGGAGGCACGGTTTCTTTGGCCATCCTCAGCTGTGCCGTTTCGAGATAAGCGAGTTGTGTCTAAAATCGCTACGAGCTTTGACCGACATCTCAGATGCCATAAATTTCAACATGGTTGAAGTGTCTCAAAGTGTCTCTGACACAGATCCCTCAGTTGCCAGCTTGTTTGAGACCATGTCTGCCCTTTCGAGCAGCTCCTGATGCTATCCGTACGAGGCTGAATCTCTTCAATCAGGCTTGCAGAGACGACAGGAAAGAATTGACAACTCTACCAATGAAAGCCGTTAAGAGGTCCAGTTATAGATACGTACAAATTGTATTTAACACCTTTCATTGGTAGCTTTGTATTGGTAATACCTTTTTCCCACATTTCCTGGCAGTTATATTTAATAATGTTCCTGCTATTTCCTGCATTGTCAATTTCAATGGACTATTGCTAAATATAAGATTTCCAGTTATATATCCTGACATGTCCTATTATAATATTTACCAACCATATGTATATATATATATATGATATTTCCAATTACTGAATATAACATGCCCTGCAGTTAAAATTCTGATTTTCCTGGCCCGGGATTTCGAACAATCTCTGGCTCTCCTCTGAGCTCATGTCTGCGATGGCGTCCATGGCCTCATCCGGAAGAAATCTGGGTTGATTTTTTGGTCCATGCATATCCATTAATGGGATATCTACCCTCTGGTAAATTAACATAGACCCTGCCAGATTGGGGTTGGAAGATTAGTTTCCATTACAAATTGGGGATATTCAGGGTCTATCTTAATTTACCAGAGGGTAACATGTCTATGAATATGAATGGACATGAATGGATATGATAGTGTCTATGAATACTAATCAATAGATATTCCATGGGATACTATAATGTCTATGGGATATCTAACACTGGTTAGTGGTATACCATGGTATACCTACTCCTCTGCAAAATATGAAAGTCAGTTGGGATGATTATATTATTATCCCAAATATTGGGGAACATAAAACATGTTCCAAACCACCAACCAGAACATGTCTATGAATATTACTAGGAATGGATATGATATAGTATGGATATCCCATTTCTATAGCCATTAATATGGATACCCCATCCATAGATATGAATATTAATATTAATGGCGAATGATAGGATATCAATGGCCATGGATATCAATGACTATCCTATTTAATGGGATATCTAACACGTCTATGAATTATTCATAATCCCACTATAGTTAGTTGATTATATTATATTGTTGATTACTATATATAAGCCATTCATATCCATTAATATTCCATCAATGGGAGATCCATGAATATCCATAGTCGAGTTTTGGCAGGCAATTTTCACAGGGAACATGATGATCAATCAGTGGATTTTGGGAGACTGTATCTTTAGAGCTATCTTCACTCTTCACCAAGTCATGGTTTTCACTTTTTGTTCCAAGTCATGGGGTCCTGGTTTCGTCCGAGGGACTGTCGCGACTAGGAGTAGAAAGTGGTTTCGGTGCCATGTCCATTTGATTCCATTTGTATTGGCTCAATTGGAGGTAGCAACTGTTTTACTCCACATCTGTGCTGGAAATGCAGAAGCTGTTGGAGACAAGAAAGGAATCAACACGCAAATTCAGGAGAAGTTGAAATGTTAGTTGAAAAAAGTGACTTTGATCAGCTGATCTGAAATCAACACATCCCAAATGTATCGCTCCCACATGCTCCCACACCTTCTTGGCCTGCTCTTCTGAAACTTTGCCTCCCGTTAGCCTCAGACTCCGATGATCCGGCGTCCCATTTTCCAAGACACATGTTGAAACACAGTACAATGACCCCTATCCTGGTTTCAAACGACTGTGATTATGTGATACTGTATGTTCTGACGAGAAATTGTTCGAGTAGGTTTGAGCCTTTTTATGTTGCGGAGAGTTTTCCTGTCCTTTCCCACATGAGAAAACTCTCTTGGGATTTGGCATCTGCAGCATCTGCGGTGGCATGTTGCCCATCATCTTCTTAGCTTGTTCCACTGCCTGCCCGTTGGAACCGGTGAACAAAATGGAACATCGCAGGGATGACATGATCTTTGGGTGAACACATCTTATGTCTGTATTCTTATGTTATGTTGTAGATTTGTAGATCCACAGAGATATCTGTTCGAATCGCTTTGCTTCAGAAGCTACAGCATGTATGTATGGATGGATGGATGGATGGATGTATGGATGGATGGATGGATGGATGTATGGATGGATGGATGTATGGATGCATGCATCAAACCACGCCTCTGGGTTGGATTTCAGTTTGTCCAGGGCGGCTCTCATGGCAGAGGCATTGCCAGCCTGAAGTGAAGCCAAGAAGCCAATGGTATGCCCCCAAAAATTTTTTTGGGGGTTGTTTGAATGGAACAATGATGATATCATATCCAACAAACCACATTTATGAGTTCCATTGAGTTCCATTTCTTTGGGTTTCAGAATTCGCCATTCTCCCAATGGATTTACGAATTCGCTCCTGCGGCGCTGCGGCAGACGCGTCTGGTGCCTGGGGATGGTAAACATACCACCCATAAAGAAGGTGATGATTAATGGTGATTAATGGTGATTGATGGTGATTAATTGTGACTAATGGTGATTAATTGTGATTCGTGGTGATTAACGGTGATTGATTGCGATTAATGGTGATTGATGGTGATTAATGGTGATTAATGGTGACTAATGGTGATTAATTGTGATTAGTGGTGATTAACGGTGATTGATTGCGATTAATGGTGATTAATGATGCTTATTGTTGATTAATGATGATTGATGGTGATTAATGGTGATTGATGGTCATTATTGTTGATGAATGTTGATTAATGGTGATTAAAGCTGATTAATGGTGATTAATGGTGATTAATGATGATTGATGGTGATTAATGGTGACTAATGGTGATTAATTGTGATTAGTGGTGATTAACGGTGATTGATTGCGATTAATGGTGATTAATGGTGATTATTGTTGATTAATGGTGATTAATGGTGAATATTGTTGATTAATGGTGATTAATGGTGACTAATGGTGATTATATAATGATGATTAATGGTGATTAATGCTGATTAATGGTGATTAATGGTGATTAATGATGATTGATGGTGATTAATGGTGACTAATGGTGATTAATGGTGATTAAAGCTGATTAATGGTGATTAATGGTGATTAATGATGATTGATGGTGATTAATGGTGACTAATGGTGATTAATTGTGATTAGTGGTGATTAACGGTGATTGATTGCGATTAATGGTGATTAATGATGCTTATTGTTGATTAATGATGATTGATGGTGATTAATGGTGATTGATGGTCATTATTGTTGATGAATGTTGATTAATGGTGATTAATGGTGATTAAAGCTGATTAATGGTGATTAATGGTGATTAATGATGATTGATGGTGATTAATGGTGACTAATGGTGATTAATTGTGATTAGTGGTGATTAACGGTGATTGATTGCGATTAATGGTGATTAATGGTGATTATTGTTGATTAATGGTGATTAATGGTGAATATTGTTGATTAATGGTGATTAATGGTGACTAATGGTGATTATATAATGATGATTAATCGTGATTTAATGGTGATTAATGGTGATCCATGGTGATTGATGGTGATTAATCGTGATTTAACGGTGATTAATGGTGATTGATTGTGATTAATCGTGATTAATGGTGATTAATCGTGATTAATGGTGATTAATTGTGATTAATGGTGATTAATGATGATTAATAGTGGTTAATGGTCATCAATGGTGATTGATTGTGATTAATGGTGATTAATGGTGAATAATGGTGATTAATGGTGATTATTGTTGATTAATGGTGATTAGTGGTGATCAATGGTGATCAATGGTGACTGATGGTGATTAATGGTGATTAATGGTGACTAATGGTGATTGTTGGTGATTAATGGTCATTGATTGTGATTGATGGTGATTAATAGTGGTTAATGGTAATTAATGGTGATTGATTGTGATTAATTGTGATTAATGGTGATTGATGGTGATTAATGGTTATCAATGGTGAATATAAAAATGGTGACTAATGGTTATGAATGGTGATTAATGATGATTGATGGTGATTAATGGTGATTAATGCTGATTAATGGTGATTGATGGTAATTAATGGTGATTAATGGTGATTAATGGTGATTGATGGTGATTAATGGTGATTAATGGTGATTAATGGTGATTAATGGTGATTCATGGTGATGACTTGGGGGATGATGCAGATGGCATTGGTTTTTCCACACTAGAAAGTATCTTCTATTGTTTGATTTGTTTGATGAGTACAAAGAACATTACACTACACTCATCACAATTAGGTATTACACCCATTTGATTTCCGCAGTAGAGAGTATTTTTTTGTACAAAGAACAGCAAACATTTTTTGGCATCAAACGGGCCATTTGATGCGTGGATTCCCCGACCAACTTCAGCGAGATCTCTTCATCACTGATACTTCGTAAATCACTTACGATTACATATGTGAGTGTGTCAGATCCACATACATCTACATATGATATACTCACACATTGTAGTTGTATATATATATATATCATATATTATGATATTGCTTATGTATATATATATATATATACGTATACACACATGTATATATATATAAATTATATATATAAACATACATATGTGTATGAACATTTATGTATACTGTATATATATATATGTATATATATATGTATATTATCATTCATTATCCAGAAATTCTACCTCCATTTGGCCCATGGTGATATCCCGGTCTTCATAAACATCACCTGCTCAGCCCCTGCGGCGGCCAATAGTGCAGCACGCGCTCGTGCCTTGTACTTCGTCAGGGAGATGTTGGGAAGGTCATGGGACACTCTGACGGAAATCTATAGGTTTTCCAACTATACTATTCGCATCCCCTGAACTAAGATATCTGGTTGGTGGTTGACCTACCCGGGTGAAATTCCCAACATGATGGGAAAGTCATAAAAGTCATGTTCCAAACCACCAACCAGATATATATAATTAGACCCCGAGAATCAGCTGTTTCAAAAAGAAAGTTGTCTTCCAGCCCTCCACTCTAAGGGTCTATGTTAGTTGAGGGGATGGTATGTGGTTGGGAACATGTTAGTCATAAAGCAATATGGATACCATTGGATACCTATAGTTCCGAACCGCTCCCTCCTAACCACCGGAGAGTTTTTTTCGCACTATGAGTGTTTCCTGCAATGTTCTCATCCAAGTCGGAGCGGGACATTTGACATAGATTTGTGGCATACAAAACAAACGATGCATGGGAATACAATGGGATAAAATGGGATATGACATATGCCCAACATGTTGAAAACATGTTGCTTCGCAGGTCCGAAACTGGATTGCAAAAAGATCCAACTTTTTGGCCGACATAGCAATGACACTAAAATGTGGGGGTTCCTAAGCGAACAAAGATGCCACGGAACAAACAGATCCTAAGCTCGGTACAGCCTCGGAAGAATCCGCGCTGCCTCGGCTGGTTTCAGCATGGAGGCTATGGATATCACAATCACTGGTTGGTGGTTGAGCCCTACCCCTCTGAAAAATGATGGACTTCGTCAGTTGGGATGAATTTCCCCAAGATGATGGGAAAGTCATAAAAATCATGTTCCAGTCACCACCAACCAGATCATTAGCCCTTATTAACAATGATTAACCATCACCATGATTAACCAACCAGCTAAATGTTCATCCTTTTCTCACCAGCTAAGAGATCTTTGTAGGGCTTGACCATGGGTGATCATGGTTGACCATCAATTTTTTTGGGCTCGGACCTGACCAAGTGGTTCCAAACGATCCCTGTTTAATGCTTGGGCATCCGGGACATCCCAATGGATTTCCATGGATTTCCTACGACAATTTATTGTTGGCTGAGGATTTCCTGCAGTTGTACCTGAAAGACCATCTGGTTATGACTAACAGTTTGCCATGGAAAATCACCAAGCTATTCATAGGTAAACCATCTATAAATGGGCCATGTTCCATGGCTATGTTAAATAACCAGAGGGTAACCAAATCTGGGAACATCTTTCACACGCGTACATAAAATAATCGTATTCGACTGCTCAAAAATGGAAAACAGAGACCCACAAGATTCGTCGGTTAAAAACATGTTGGAGCCATAGCCTCTTCCATACTTCCATATCCGTTGCTCATGAAATACCCATTACAGCACCATTCTGGTTGGGGAATACCCTGAATATCCCTCAAATCATGTTGACAGCGTGAAAATGACCCAAAGACATATCACTCCAGAATTCTTGGAAGTTGAATATCCACAATTTCAATGGCTTACCCTCTGACAATCACACATGGTTTGCTGGACAATCTGCCATCTGTAGACATCTTAAGTCATATTACAGCAGTGTTTCAAGATGTCTATGGCTTCCTGATTTCCTAGCGGTTTTATCTTTGGTATCCCAACCCGCTGGTGCAGCAGGTGCCGGCAACTTCACGGTCTGCGCAACATGGCAACGAGGCAGCTGAATATGCTGGGACAATGCTGGGAATATACATCTCTGTATATATATATATATACAGTGTATATATATATAGTATATATATATATATACTATATGTATATATACTATATATATATATTATATACTATATATATATACACTATATATAATGTATATATACTATATATACTATATATACACTATATATATATATATACACTATATATAATGTATATATACTATATACACTATATATACTATATATACTATATATACTATATATACTATATATACTATATATACTATATATACACTATATATATAGATATACTATAAAGATATACTATATATATATACACACTATATAATAATTATACACAATATAAATATATACTATATAGATATACTATATAGATATACTATATACATACACACTATATATATACACTATATATATATACTATGTAGATATACTATATATAGACTATATATACAATATAGATATACTATATATATATAGACTATATATACTGTATATATATATATACTATATATATACACTATACATATATATATATACACACTGTGTATATCCATATATGGTTAAACTGGAATATGTTATGGTTGGGTATTCCCACTGTACTGAAAATATACTGGGACCACGATAGGGTTTAGCATGGGAATATGATGAACCATGATGGGGGTTCCTAGAACGGTGAATACCGCAGTTCCAATCTCATTCCCCTTCTATTAAATACCACCATATCGGGACCCTAAGACAAATAGATCCAATACCAAATCAGGGTTTCTAGAGGGGTATGTGATATTAATATAGGGGGGAAGGGGTTACTTATAGATTAGGGTCACATAAATAAGAATAGACTTGGGTTCCATTTGCACACGATTTTCCCATAAAAAAAGTTAGAGCTCATGATTCTCCGTGCCAGGTTTAATATTCTGGCTGCAAAAGAAAATCAGAAACCTGAAATACCATCTGGTTTTCTAATATAGCCATGGAACATCACCATTTTTAATAGGTAAACCATCTATAAATGGGCCATTTCCCATGGCTATGTTACATCACCCGAGGGTAAATCAATTTTAGGATAGACACCCCCTATAAACCATCATTGCAGTGACGTCGCAGCGAGGTTGTTATATTGTGTTGGAAGATTTCAGTAAAAAACTTTGCAAATTAGATATAGCGTCATGCCTCCCCTCACTGGCATACCCTCCGGTAAACTCACATGGCTATGGCAAATGGCCCGTTTATGAGATGATTTACCTCGAAAAGATTGGGTTTTCATAGATTTTCCATAGCTGAGGGTATCCCAAACAATCTGAATCAGTGCATCAGAGCCATGACCTTTGTATTTTTCGCGTTCCCTACCTTCAACTATGTACCTGGCGATAGAAAAAACATGGAAAACAACAATTAATATGTAAAGTAATGCCCAGAAAGACAGAACAGTCAAATCCTACTTAAAACATATCATGATAGATTGATATAGATTGAAGGCTTTTCATAGCTGTTCTATCCTTTTGGTAGTTGCGAGTCCCATCACCTTATATAATATTAAACACCCCATTCTATGGCCTCAAACATGCGATTTCATGACCCACAAAGTCATGGTGACTCTGGGGTGTGTTTAATATTCAAGGATTCTAGAACATTTACATCGGTTGGTTTAATCCCCATCATACTCCAGAACAAAAATCCACCAGTCCATTGAATTTCCGTTGATCATCTAATGTTTAGATTGTTTAGTAAACATGTACATACATTTACTATATCCCACTGTAGTGAATTCTATCACCTAGTTGATGACCATGAATCCTTGATGACCTAGTTATGTGAAGCCGCTTAAGCCTTCGGATGGGCCAAGCACCTCGACCTCAATACCCAGGCGTTCGCAAAGGAAGTCAACAACCTGCTGGAATCGCTGGGATCCCTGGAGCTTTCGATGGGGATTCTCAATGAGAACATCGATTTTTTACTTACTATGGGAATAAAAACATCTAAAAACTATGGAAAAATCCATATATATATATATATATAATTATATATAATATATATATATGTCCATGTCCAAATATCCTAACAGTAACAATTCTCATTAATGGGATACAGAAATCGTAACATGTCCTAAGCACCAGTGGACTTACCACGGTGAAATCGGGTGGATGGATTTACCACAATGCCAGTGATGTTTGTGGCCCCATGACCAGTAACCATGGTCCAATTCTGGGAAAGTCCATATGGGTATGTCTGAAAATGGAGTATACCCCCAATGAAATCGCCATTTAGTAGGGATAAATAGGGATAATGATCATTAACCATTGGGTGTAGGGGTACACTATTTTCAGACAAACCCATATATGTCCGTTGTTGGGTATGATGATATGGGTCGATTTTCAGAAGACACGTTCTCCAAGTTCGAGGTGCCCACAAGTTTGACACATCTGGATGTCTCTGAAACTGGATTCTATCCCAAAAATGATGACGTTAATAGGTAAAAATGATGATTCACCAGAGGATTTTCCCCCAAAAATTCCATCTTCAATAGGGAAATGAGGATGCCCCCAGTCAAATTTTATCAATTTTGGGGCACCTCAAACAACCACCAACCCCCAGTGGTTGCCTGGCCCTTTCGGTTGACTCGAGCCGCATCTACCACATCCTGACCCTTACCTCAGGCATCGCATCGCTTTTGCGGAGATACCCTCTGGTTTTTTTAACTAATAGAAATATCACCGAGGATGCGAGATATCAATGAGATCACCTAGGTTTTAATGTTCCCAACTTTATTCCCATAAATGGTTGGTGGTTTTAACCATCTTGAAAAATATGAGTCAATGGGAAGGATTATCCCATATATTATGGAAAAAATGTTTGAAACCACCAACCAGTAATAGGTATGGTATGGAAACAATGTCCCATGTCATTCCAAACAATTTATGATGATTTACTGAACTTAAAATGATGATGTTCCATTAGTTGCGTTAAATTACCAGAGCGTAGTACGTTTGAATGCGCAAACCGCTTGCTCCGACCACAGCTCTTTTTCTGGTAACATTTTAACAACATGTTCATGATTTCAACATGTACAAAGGGAAGTCGAGATCATGCATATGGAAAGGAATCTCAAGGGGTGGTCTATGGAATTTAAATTCCCACCCCAAATGAATTTGATATTGAAGGGTTTAGGGTTTAGGCCATGAATATGGTTTAGTAAAAGGTTTTGGGGTTTAGTTTAGATTTAACAAACATATGAGTTGGCAACGTCAGTATCAAGTTCAACACGCAATTCTCAAGGCTGTGCGTTGCTATCAGATTGAAAAAACATTACACTAATTGTTGTTTGTGATCAATGATTATTATCAACACTATTATCATTATCATGAATGTTATCAATCATGATGGGATGGTATCAAACAAAAACAACAAATATGTTTTAACCAAAAAAATGCGTTACCATCTGGTTATTTAACATAGCCATGGAAAATCCCCATTTTTAATTCGTAAACCATCTATAAATGGGCCAGGTTCCATGGCTATGTTAAATAACCAGAGGGTAATTTAAAACAAATAAATCACCAATCAATACGAATCCTTCGCAGCTCTGTCCTCAGTCTCCGGGCGGTTTCGAAAGTTGTTCCAAGTATTGTCCGGCCACTCCTTCTCCACAGCATCCAGCAGAACCTGGAGGGTTGCCACTGGGCAAAGAAACTGCTGCTGCTTCAAGCAGAAAGCAGATTTCACCAACAAGAATTGGGATTCAGTCCATCCAATATCATCCAAAATGTGGGCTCAAGATCGTTCAAGTAAAAAAGTCTTAAAATGGGAGTTCAACAAAGTTAAACCCCCAGTTTCTGATGGATAGAAGGAACGATTTATAGGTTAATTATAGGGGTTTCCTGCAACATTTCCCTTCAACCAAAAACAGGGACATTACCAACATTTTTTTTAATAGATGTTTTTTGGAACCAAGAAAGAGGCTCTATTTGGTGACTTCAACTTTCCAAGAATCCCCTTAAAATTCCAGCAAAAGGGCTTTGCAAGAATTACCTGGGACAAAAATAACTGATAAGTAAAATTGTGCCAGATATATGATATATCCAAATGTTGTATAATATTGTGGAAACAAAGTCCCACAATCGTTATCAACAAAACCAGATTGGCTTGGCGGGGAGATTTATGGTTTTGGCTTTGCATCGAAATCTCAACAACCTGGTGACTTTTGGACGAGGATCAAACCAAGCCGACTTGTCATACTGCTAGTTTTAATCAAAGCAGCAAAACGGATGTCTGCAAATCGGGTACACCCGTGCAGCCACGTGGTTTATTCATCGTTCCAAGGGTACCCCATTTTCCGACTCCCAACCGACGTTCCTTGAGAATTTCCATCTGGCCATAGCCAGCAGCGTAATGCAAGAATGTGTTGTCCTGGAGAAATTGCACCATGTCGTGCTGAAAATCTGACACCACGATCCATCACCAAGAAACATCTTGTGCTGTTCAAAACATCAGTCCACCACCAATCTGGCTGAATTGAAGTAATTCCACTAACATAACTATATGGAAAATCACCATTTTAAATGGATAAATCAACTCTTTCTATGGCCATTTTCAAGTTCGCAAACTGTTAGTTTACCAGAGGGTAATTCACTCACCTGAATTCATGGCTATCATACGGCCATGGGATATGGGATAACTGCGAACGCTTGCGAACCCGGTATGCGCCTGGCCATCTTTCACAGTGACATCCGCACCTGGGAAGAAATGGCCCAGTTCTTGGGATTCTATCCGTCCATTGATACACCCAGTACCAGTTGCTTGATAAGGGCGAAACCATATTGGAGGACAAACTTTCTTACAGATTTACAAAAACAAAAAAACAAGTTGGCATGACCCAAATATAGATATATCCTATTGTATGTCATATCTCCGTTCAATATCCCTATTAATTGCTATACAGCTATTGTATGCTATCATATGCTATCATTGTATTTATGGATGCACCCCCAATATGTCCAGATTTTTTCTGTAATAGATTCTGAAAATCACCAATATTGTGGGTAGTAACTAGTATGATTCCCCCATAGTCCCCAATATGTTTTTTTTGAAACTGCTCACATCAACTTCCATATCCAACAATTCCTCTAATGCTTCCTGGAAGTTCTGTGATTGAAACTGCTTCTCAAACAAGCATCACTTGTATCAATGATCTCCCCATTTTATACCATTTTTATATGCTTGAATTGATGGGATTATATGGATGATGGTTGAAACACCTTCAGCCCCCGATGTCGGCCCTGCTGGTGTAAAAAACCCTTCGTCCACGGAGCTTCGCCTCGCTCCAGCAGGAGTTTCACTGCGTCGAGGTTGCCACCTGGGAAAATTCATGAATGCAGAATTGAATTTATGTTGGATGATGGATCTCTCTTTAACCCATAGGATCCATGTATGGTATATATGCTAACATTTGGGGTATATTGAAGAACTGGAAGATCTATGAAGTCTTGGATGAGGTCACACATCGTTGAATTTGGCTCAGGGGCTCATTTGTTTCAATATTGGGCACCCAAAAGAATATCACCCACGTCACCCACATAGACATAAGGATATATATATATATATACATACAGATATAGATATAGATGTATAATGATGTATATACACTCCCTAAATCCAAGCACTAAATCTGCCGTTTCCAGTTGAAAGCTGAGATCTCCACAAGCCACTGCGTAGCCTATAGGCGCGATCTGCTTCTCGTCCCACTTGTTGATGTCAGCTTCCCTCGGTGGCAGATATTCCCTGACTGCAACCACCCGACTGAAGATGGTTCCGAAGAAGTAAACATATGGATACATATAAGTCAATTTATGGAAAAACTGGAATCATCACATGGCTATTCCAACAAATATGGAACAACATATTCCAACAAATATTTGAAACAAACCATGGAAAATCAATCATCATCACATATGGAAAAACGATTGATTTGAAACAAACAAATCATTCAACACATATTCACATCCAATGACTTATCAAAGGACTCATCAAAGGGCCAATCAGGACCCTGGTTAAATGAGATCCCTCTACTGCCAAGAAAATACTGATAAAAGCACCAAGCACATCGTGATGCCAACGTTGGGAGATCTAGAATTCCAACGAGTCACGGCTCTGCCAGCATCTCCTCAATATATTGCACCTGGGTTCACAGAAAGAGTGTTTCAGGTTTCTGTGAAGCTGTTTACGACAGAATTGGGTAGTTATGGACGATCATTAAAGCTTCCATAAGCTTCCCAACTCAGAATTCTTGGTGAGTTTTAATTTGTCTTATCATGTCTTATCATCTTATCCATTCAATTTTTCGGGTGCCCTCAGTGCCCTAATGACTTGAGCCATCCCTCTCAGTACAGGACATCTCCGCGCAAGGCAGCCTCGGCAAGGACGGTGGACCTAGATGCTCTACTGCTACACCTGGCATCTGTGAATCCCAAAATCCGTGAATCTGCTCCATAAGGCAAATTATATCAAATTATTACTTTTCTAGATTGAGCTATAGTTACAATCCGCATGGGTAGGTCGAATAAGCGGATTAAAACATCTTAAACGTCCACTTTTTCACCCCCTCCCCCGTTCCCCGCAGGTTCTGGAGCTACATCAAGGAAGGCCACCAAAATCTTTCGACGTCGATTCCCCCCGTAATAAGTCCTATCCAACAACCATTAAACACCCATATTAGTAGCCACTCCCAGACGTCTGCCTCATGCAAGGTCGTTGGGGGAGCCTGAGCTTGCCTGGGCGACTGGTTTTTGGAGTTTCCGGAGGTCACCAATTTTCCACCATGGCCACCATGGCCATAGGATACAAACCATTCCACCTGGGGGTCAATGTGGGTTAATTGGGGCTGAATCAATAAACTTAAATGGGTTTTAACAACAGACTTTGAGGGTGCCTCCCTACCAGGTAACAGGTAACTCCTGCACAAATCCGGACTTCATGGGCCGCGAATAGGGATCAAGATGGTGGTTTATTCAGCAAACTTGGCAACTTGGCCATGGGAAACCATCAAGATGATGTCCCTTGGGGGATTTAGCCATCAATGGCGATTTGCCCACAATCAGTGGCGATAAAAGCCTTACTCAATGAGGAATTTATCACCCAAAGTGTGGTAAACCCAAAAGCAAGCCTTTCAATATATTGGGGTCTTACTTAAAACTTCCAAACATGGGGTTTATGAATCGATTTACCACTCTGCCAAAATTGGCTTCCATAAACTGTTCAACCCTCAAAAAAAGAAACGATCCCAAAACTACTTGGGTTTTATGACTGTGGTTCTTTTAGGAAAAAAACAGCACCATGCACCATTTTCCGGGCCTCACCATATCTTCGAAGGCACCGTCAGGGAATTTCCCTGTCCTGACAGGCTGGGATTGGAGATGCTTGCGCCGTCTCCAGGAAGTTGACAAATCTTGGATGGACTCTTCACTTCGATAGATGTTTTTGGGCGGCTACTTGCACGTTGGTACATCATATCCTCTTGTCAAAGATTCCAACACTTCCATACATATCCCAACAATCAATCTCATGGATACATTATCACCCATTATAGATTTATCTTCCAACCTCCATACGTGATCAAGAAGCGGCGCCGAAACAGCAATGCTGGGGTTGTGTGGGGTTGCAATGATTCTACTCTTCATGACATCAAGACCCAATGAAGCATATAGCGATATTCACAATGTATTGAAAATGGCAAGTATCTCAAACCCATTGAACAGAATCCTATTTTATGGCTGATGCCACGATGATTATCAGCCATTCAGCAACTGGTAGAGATCGTTGTGGCTAATCATCAGCAACAGCATGTCCTCTCAAACTCCTCATAACCAGCAATTTCCTTTCGGAGGCCCCACTTCACCTGCGTCTTCCCACAAATCTGCCCAACTGCCGCTTCAAAGAACGTGATGTAACCTGAAAATATGTCCAAATTCGCAATGGACTGATCCATTCACGTGTATTTCATGAGACTAATGAGAGCTAGTCATAAAAGTCTGGGATGCATGGCACTTCTGAACATTGCTACAAATTGTGGATAGTTGGTCCAAGTGACTACTTGTGTCTGTGCCACCGAAAAGGCTGTGTTCATCGAGTAGTACACAGAAACAGCCTGGCACAGGGTTGGAAGCCACAAGTTGAAGATATTCATAGTAACCACTGGCTTGAGGATTTTATTTGTACCTGAAGACCCGGGTTTTTACCGTTCAGATCCGTTCTGTTTCAGAAACCGGTTGCACAATGTGAGCCCAACGATGGACCAATGGGAGGGGCCCAGGATGCTGCAAAACGGAGCTTCGCAGGCTGGGGTGTCACCATGTTTTTCGGACATAATCAACGCATTGCTATCACCATCATCATCGTCGTCGTCGTCATCATCATAATCATAATCATCATCATCATCAGCATCAGTATCATCATCATCATCATCATCATCATCATCATCATCATCATCATCATAATCATAATCATAATCATAATCATCATCATCATCATCAGCATCATCATCATCATCATCATCATCATCAGTATCATTATCGCTATATAAGTCTATGTGTTAGACACTCTCACAAGGAACCGTGAAACTTGGCAAGCGACACAGAAGTATACAAAAGTGACACCCACTGGCCATGCCAAAGTGACAGGCCCAGTGGCCTGTGGCAATTCCAGTGACAAGCTGCCAATGAAATACACGGAGATCCAAGGCAGAACCTCTCCAAGCTGGTGCGCACAGATCATCACAGATCTGTTGGTGGTCACAGCATGTCATAACTACTGTCTGGAAATGGGGGAATCCCCCAATGTAGCATTTGCTGTGGGCAAAATCATAAGAATCAAGCTTGGGTGCACCCTATCTTGCGACGAAGCCACTCAACAGGAGCCAGTGAGACATTGTCATCCAAGTCTTAGTTTTCTCAAGGAAGGCAAAGCGCTCCCAAGCGGTTTCCCCTTTAAACCAAACTAGTTTAAAGTTTGAATGAACATCAGGATCAACCTGCATCTCTGCAAGCAGCACCTGCAGCATGACGTTCTGAGGATCGTCTTCGTTCCCAGATTTGGGTCTGCTGCTCGATGCCTGTGCCGTGAGCCCTGCCATAGCCCTGCCACAACGCCATCCCCTCAACATCTTCCCGCCTGTTGCTGCTGGATGATAGTGGAGCCAACCAAAATCGCGGGAAAGACCTCAAATCGTGTGCCGAATGGGGATGGGTTACAAAGTTTGTGGCTCAAGAATTATCAAATCGAAATAGATCATTGGATATCATTGGATTTCTACATGGATATGGAGACTTCCTAAAATGGGGGTACCCCCCAAATCATCCATTTATAGATCGGATTGACCATTTTTCTCACCATCCAGCGAGCTTGGGATACCTCCAGCTCATTGGGAAACCCCCATATATGTATATATATATATACATATGTATATATTTATGTGGGTAAATTATAATATTTCACTAACCTGAATTAAGGCTATCTTGGGGATCATTTCCCTTACTAACTATGATTGTAGTGAGGGTCGCGACAGTGAGGTCGTGATGAAATTTACCCAGATATATGAAGCTTTTTCATCGATGCAAGGTACAGCATCCACCAAACTGCCGGCACTTTTTGTTGCTATCCAAGGTACCAAATACGCCAGGTAGTCCGACCATCCCATCTCAGGTTGACCATCTTTCCACTGCAGGAGCCAATCAAACCTGTCAGCCATGTTGCTTCAAGCAGAACCAAAGCTTACTCAAGAAAAAGAAAACATACAAAATGTGTGTCTGAAAATTGGGTAATATCCGCAAATTGCCATGTCTTAATAATTAAAAAGGATCAGAATTAGTTTTTTCAAGGATTTTTCATTGGTTTTCCATGGTTTTCCTGAGGTGTTCAGCTGTCACAGGCAATTTGTTCAGCTACCGCCGAGCTGCTTAAACTGGAAATCCGGGTTGGGTTGCGCCAGCGAAGGCACCCAGAGCCAGCCCTCTGTGTAGTGGGGAAACTTCTCCGCCGCCAGACGGCGCCAGCAACCATACAAACTCCTACGGCCCAAGTACGATGTAAAAAAGGGTGTTAACATGCACACTGTGGGCATTTGAAGCTCATTTTAACATGTCAATTCCCAATGGTTAACAAGGTTTAACCACTACTAAACATGGGGATTGTGCATGATTTCAACAGAAACAATTAGGTTGATGAGGGGTCTATACCGACCCACCAGCCAAGCCTGCGTCCAAATAACTCCAATAGCTGTTGGTTGGGTTATTTAGTGAAAGCCAACAAAGATAACTGGGGGCGCCCAGCCTTGTAAGCTTGTATTGTTAGTAACTATTATATATATTATATATATACAGTATATATATGGAATGGTCATGGTCAATAGTAGGAATAACAGCTATATTACGAAATTGCAACCTCTATAATTACATTACTTCTGTAATGGCTAGGGGTTGAATTAAGTCCAAATCATCTGGGTGAATTGTGTACATATAAACTTATTCGAACTATATACAGTGACATAAACTCTGGTGTATCTGGTGTATGGGGAAAACGAATCAGTTCATTTGGCCTTCACAGGAGACGGTAAACGAAGTGTGGGACTTCCTGGTTTTTGCTCGTGAGAAACTTGTTCAGAAAACTCGTCTGGAACGCATCCAGAAATGGAGAACAAGAATGAAGGCTTCTGCTCTTTCCAACTGTTCCGATATTTTACATATTTGCGGCGCAAGCATTCCGAATTTGGCCATATGACTGTGACCGACTCAAATGGCATGCCTTTCTACCATCAAGATGATGCTCTGGCCTTAGCTTCCGACCAGTGGAATCAAGTTTTTTTTGGCGAACAAGGAGCATATTCCTTCTGAACCTGTACTCGAAGTGATTCATGATGCCTTAAAAAAAAACTGTTCCAATTTCCTTGCCTTTGCTCACCGATGAGTGCCTCAAGAATGCTGTTGACAAAAGAAAGCACAACGCCTCACCGGGGGTGGATGGTTGGAGAACAGCTGAGCTTCAAGCCCTTCCTGCGATAGTTTTTGCACCATGGGCTCGTATGTGGAACGAAATTGAAGATGGATCCTTTCGTTTGCCACCCATTTCTCAATGCGCGCGTTTGGTCATGTTGCCAAAACCGGATGCCAAAAGCTTAATGCCCATTGGCAAAAGACTGATCACTTTGATGTGTATTCCGTACATCATGTGGAGCAAAGCACGATTTGGCCATTTATGTGGTGGAATTCAGGGAAGACAAGCTGCCGACATTGCTCAGATTATTGCCGCCAGATGTGAACATGCCATCGCTTTTCACAAGCCCATTTGTGGTATCAAACTTGATTGCTCGAAATGTTTTGACCGTATCATTCCAAGAATTGTAGCTGATTTTGCACAGATCCTCGGAATGGATCCCAAATTTTTGCAGGCGTGGCTGCAGGTTTATGAAGATTTTCATATTATTTTTTATGCATGGGGCATGCTATTTCAAAAACCAGTTTGTCCAATTTGAATGGTGCGGCTCAAGGGGATGCAGCCTCGGTGGCCATCAGCATTTTGATGACTGGATGGACAGCAATTGTTGAGTCTATCCCTGGGATTGAGCATTTCGCGTTTATCGATGATTCCTATCGTCTTGTGCTGGAATCCAATGTTGAGAATCTTGCTGCTGCCTTGACTGGTACCAAGTTTTTCGATAAACTTGTTGGCCAAAAATTGAACATTGATGAATCCAGCTGGTTTGCGACTTCGAAAGCTGCAGGAAAGAAGCTGGCAAATGAAATTCCTGCTCTTCCCATTCATGATACGTTTTCAGTTTTGGGTACTTTTGTCAAGACGAACGCCAAGCGTATTACCATTGATCCCAAGAATACTGCTCAAAGCCTCCATGCTATTCTTCATGATATTGAGAATTTGCCAGTTTCTCTTCAAAATAAAGCCTTTGTGATTTCCAGCAAAGTTGTGTCAAAAATCCTTTATCATCCAGAGGTGATTCCTTGGCCGAAAGCGACCATAGACAGTATGGTCAATTCAGTTGCCGAAGCTCTTTGGAGTAACAGACCAGGGTGGCGAAATCCAGAGTTGTTTTTTTCGCTGTGCACCAATTCCATTGCTTGTCATCCCCACATGTCCATTGCCACTAAAGTCATTTGCAACATTGTTGCTCGATGCAAGCGAGATGAACAGTTTTTTGGTTTGTGGTCTGAATTGTGTGGTCGGGATAAGGCTATTGCTCGTGGTCTGGCTGATGATTTCCTTAAAGCTTGTGAAACCCTTGCTATTGAATTTGTGCAGCCACATTTTTTTCGTTGCTTGGGACGTGAAATTTCTTTCTTTGAGTTGTCAATTGCTGGAGAAGACTAAGAGTGTGCCATTTTGCGGCTGTGTTTATATGCACAAGCTATTTCTAAGAATGTGCAATGTATGCACAAGCTATTTCTTCTGCAAAGATCTGGTCTGGATCCATGGTGTCCCTCGTCGTTCGATGATTCGTGCCTGGTATTTTGACTGGTGCCTGCCCTACTGCAAACAGACTTTATAAAAGCAATCTTGTTGACTCAGCGAAATGCAGGTCTTGTATGGCTTTGTGAGCTTCATCATGAAGACATAAAAAACATTTGACTCGGTGTGAAGGGGTCGATGCTGGGAAATCCGGGGTCAATTTGTCCTGAGCAGCCCCATTTTCTGACGCATGGTATCTTCGAGGTTCCTCAATATAAACTGGATTCCATCCATGCTGCGGATTTCATGCCTTCTTTTTCTGGTGAAATTTGTCATAGCAATCACGTCTCTTTGGGTTCTTTGGCTGGTTGCGGTTTCGTTTTCAACAAAAAACACTTGTTTACACGAACTTTGGGAGCTGCTGTTGTTAACCTTGAGGGTGAGGTGGTGTGGCATTTTGCCACATTGGAGCCTTGGAGTTGTGCGGTCAAAGATGAACTGTGGATTGTCTCGAGTATGATGCGAAGGTTTTCAAAGAATATTAGTTTTTTTACTCGATGCGTTGCCTTGGCTCAAACGCGGCAACGGTTGAAGGATGTGACTGTCCTTCCACTCAACACGGCGTATCTGGATCTTTGGAGCGAGATTTTCCAGCTCACTGGACGGGGTCGGTCTTGTAGATTAAACATGTTCTCAATCAACGAGCTTGAATTTGCCAACAAAAAGACGTTTTCTGGGTTGTGGAAAATGGCGAAAGATGAGGCTACTCATGTAGCTAAGACTGCTATGCCGGTCCCGCCGGCAGTTGTGAAATCTTGGATGCAACACACTGCTGTTCAACAAGAATGGCTGTGTCGATTGTCAAAACTTTTGCAGTATGTAAATCAAGATGATAACCGTCAACATAGTTTGGTGAATGCTGACCATGTTGTGGACAATGTGGACGCGAGAGTTGATATCGACTATGTCAACCGGTTTCCTAAATGGGATTGGCATTATGCAGAAATTATTTCTGGTGTGGCCGCTGTGCTGATGCGTGGAACATCGTGGAACCTTCCGGATGTTGATTTACCATAGCCTCTGGTAAACTAACATAACTAATGGGAAAATCCACGATTTCGACTGGGCCATTTTCAATAGCTTTTTGTATGTTTACCAGAGGGTAGTTTCTCTCTCCAGATCACACGACTGGAAGAGCAAGAGCGATTCCTGCAACTTGGCAATAAAAACGAATCAGTTCATCCACCATTTCTGAAGGTATCCAGGCAACTGTCAACGTAGGAAGAAATCGAATCTGGCAGAAAATCACAACTCTCCCCAACTGATTGGTGAAAACATGTGAAAACTGTTCCCAGCTCCTCGAGCTGGCTGTTTTCACCTGGACCCCCTTACTCTAATGTGATTACTGGTTTTCATCCATGTAAATCATGGCTTTCTTATGCTTTCTTCCATAACCTGGAAGTCTAGTTCTTCAATCTCCAGAAAATCATCCCACACAACTTTGGACCCCTCCCCGCTCCAAAAGATGGGCAACTGAAGCAAGACGGGCAAGCAGCCACCCAACCTGAACTTGGTGCTGAATTTGGGAGACATTGCTCCCATTGGGCAGATACGTGGGTGTAGTTTCAGGTATAAGTGGTTTTACAAACATAGTGATCATAGTGTGGTTTTACAAAGAATCCTGCAACATCTTGGATGGTTAAAACCGTATAAATAATGGGATAAAGAATCTATCAACTGGTGATTTCGCAACCATCCACAGAAGTTGTAGGGTTACACATGCTTACATCCAACTGAGGTGAACTCACCATGATCAAATTTGCGGGGAGCATAACATCACTAGAATAAACGTGTCAGGTGAATCTCCCAATTTTGAAGGTTACTAACATGCCTTCTCCATAAACAGTGTATTGATCACTCTTGTTATCACACGTGAAAATCAGGCATTAACATATTACTAACAGGCATGAACAGGCATAAACATCACTCTTTTTCTGTATTCCGTTTCTTCACCCAATGTTGACTTCTGGTGCTTCTGGTGGCTTCAACACCATTGACAGGAAAACCCTGCCGGAGAGCTCACGGCAGACGGCCATAAATGGAACAAATCCACACGCAAGTGTTGATTGGTTTCAACATGTGTTAACCCATCTCCCAAGAATGATTCGATACACAAATATATATATATATATGTATATATGTGTATATATATATGAATATATGATTTGAAACTTCCTTATTGGAACTTATTGTGGATATTCCCGTACCGCTGCTTGATCTTTCCTTCTCTGTTCCCATGTTTGTTGGTTGAAAGCACAAACCAAATTTCGGTACCTCTCAATTCAGCAAATCATGGTAAGATCAGCATTTTGTTTACCTGCTTTTCGTAGTTTTCACCCCTCACAATGACCTGCTTTAGTCTACACCCCCTAAACATGCGGACACTTGGGAAGACCCAATTCATGGGGCATTGGAAGATGACTTCCTGTCGGATATAGAAATGAATATTGGTTCTATATGGCTTTGGCTGAGACTGGGATATATGTATCCCATTTTAAGGCTGCTTCAATAGGTAACATGATTCTCTGAACCACCAAAGTTTGTTTTGTTTCAAACAAATCAAACAAAACAGTAGTTAACATATTTTCGGACAAGATCCAAAGTTGAGTTAACACATGTTCAGGCAAGATCCATAAAAAGAATTTAAACTATGGAGGCAACCCCAAGATGCCGAAAAGTTGGAAACCATGGGGTTTTACCATCATCAAACTACCATCCCTTTTTTGCACACGAACCGATGGGCACCTTTTTGGGTGAAACCCCAGTTACATCCCATGATGTTCCCACGATATTGTTGGTTGTACTCCCATTATTCTCACTATATGAAGTTACTAGTAGTAGGTAGTAGGTACTATATATATATATTATATATATTATATATAATTATGTATATATATATATATTCCTACTATTAGTATAATATATATATGTAATCTATGTCTATATCCCCCATTTTGGGACTTACTAGTAGTTACTCCAAACCAACGCTGGCCAGTGACGGGTTGACGTCCATTACGGAGTAGAGTTGTCCCAAAAGTCGTTGCTGCGTGTCCGGATCGTCCTGCAATTTGATGACATCATCATGTATTGTAGTCACCCCATGGTAGCTAAGACGATGTTATAATTATAAATAAAAAATCAGATATCATAGATACTCATAATTTATCGTTACTACTTAGCACAAATGTGCTAGCTAAGTTGCGTTCTACACATAACTCCAATAATTGTTGGGTTATGTTATTAATGTATACATATATATATATATAACATCAACAAAGATATCGGGCCGAGGGGCCTAACTTGCAGGGAATCAGCCACCAATTCATGACCACAAATGAACATGATGATGATGATGGTGATGATGATGATGATGATGATGATCATCATCATCATCATCATTTTTGGATCTTATTGTCAGGCAAACCTCTAATATCCATTAATATCCAAGATGTTCGTACCAAATTGTGAAGGAAACCCTGCTCTAAATCCGTCCACAAATCTTCATCCAGATTTATCACACACATATTCTCAAGTTGCCGCAGTTGAACCAAAAACACAGACTCCGCTCCCTTCTTTTGTTTGTTTGGCTCATGGAAATAGGTTTCAATCCTCAAATAGCTGGGATTTATGGTGTTTGACTGCTGAGCCATCCAAAATTATGTAAAAACATATAGCTTTTAAGCCATCACCATCTGGATCTCCTTGTATCTCTCTTGGATCTCCTTCACTTTGGGCTGCAGCAACTGCATCATAGAGGTGCTCTTAAGCTGGCCCTGCTGCAAGGGGAAGAACAAGAGCTTGATGAAGGCGGTGTACAAAACGATGGTCCAGCCGAAGGCTTGTTCCACGCCTGGGAGCTGAGAGAATGGCAATCCATGGCTATGATGCTTGAAATGGATACCTTTAGAGAATTTGGATGGTGAAAATGGGAGGAGGATGAGCATGATGATTTTCATTGATTTTTGCGCTGTAGAAACACTTTAGAACAAGGGATCTCAGGCGCCCACCATTCTCACGCAAGATGGCATCAATGCCTTTGATGAGACTTGCTTGGAATCCAATGAAGCCGTTCCACCAGTCATCCGTGATGGGCTTGTTGTTCATGGGATCCACCAAGACTGCGCCATCCGGACCATAGAGGTAGGTGGTGTTGGGATCTAATTCCACAGGCGGCAAATCTGCTGCATAGGCCGGTGGCACGATCTCATGGGCCAAACGACCCGCATTTTCCGACAGACCATCTGCCCACTGCTGCAACGTTGCAGCAACCTCAGCAGGAACTGAGTGATCTCCTGTGGCCAAATTTGCCTGTTGGCAAAACTCCTGCACTTGCTGCAGAAAGTTGGCTTCTCCCATCTGCCCCATCTGTGCCTGGGCATGCTGCAGAAATTCCACCATTTCGGGCCCTGCACGCCGTGGCACGCGGCGTGCCCGGCGCCCGGCACGGGCGACGCAGAGGCCAGCCGTGGCCAGACCCATTCCCCAGCGGGTGGCCGTGGCCGTCCCCCCACTGGCTGGGACAGCCGTGGCAGGCGTGGCAGCCGTGGCAGCCGTGGTTCCCATGGCCCCAACGTGGGCAGGCCGGGCGGCCGAGAGGAAGGCTGGAGCATCTCCAAGTTGGCTCGCGATCATGGCGGCCCCGGCAAGAGCAGCACGAAGCTCGGGTCGCTCCATGACTCTACTTTGACTCGTCATGAGCACCGTGGCTACCGTGGCTACCGTGGCTACATGATGCATGATGCCAACAATGCACCTGGCCGGGAATCATGTGACCTGAAAGCCTCATGTCTTACATAATCTATTGAAAAGCACCCGAGAAATGCAATTGGGAAAATGTAATTACAAGCCTCTCCCCCCTTGATTACATTTATAAGGTAGGGTCCATGTTTCCTTGCAGCTACATGTTCATGTCCAGAAAAGTACACGACACAAAGATATAAGATCTCCTTATGGATCCAAGTACCTTCTGAAGTATTTGGGGATTGATTTAGGGGGTTCAGTACCTTCCCAGGTAGCATTTGGATCCATAGGGTATGGATTTCTGTGAGAATTCAGGATCCCATTCCATCCCCATGGTTTGAATAACCGAATATTTCCGATTCCGTCATGGCAATAAATTACAACCCTGTTGTGGATGGCACTTTATATAGAGGGAGGTTTCCCATCTTTTCCATCGCAGCCAACCTTGTCATGACGTATGCCATGCGCCCAGTCTGGAAACGACAACGCCAAGTCCTAATCAAGTTTTGTACCTGTAGAGTCCCTACAGCTGAGAAATGGCTATGGTCAAATTAGAGGGTCCCCAAGAAAATGGATGGTAAATATGAAAATCACACGAAATGGGATGTTTGAGTCTGCCATTTTCACCCAAAAAGTATGAAGAGACGTCAAGTCACAAACCATGAAACAATGTTTCAAGGGAATATCCCCACTTTTCTGAAATTGAACATTCCACCAATAACACGTCTGAAATTTGGTCAACAAATATGAAACCCATATGGCAGTTTCACTCTCGCCCGTCTCAGAGTTCGTCGAAGGATTGACCGTCAGAATAGGAGCCAAAGGGTAAATAACCCGCCTGGAGCAGCCCATCAACTGGACGTAGCTCAACTTGCCGCAATTTTGGGTACCCCCAAAAAACATGCAACATTTGTGGGGTTGCGAGGTTGGGAATTTTGACTATAGCGATAAACAAAGAAGTACAAATAGAATCAAATAGATATATCAGATAAATAGGATTAAATAGGTACCAAAAATGGCCGTAATTGCAGTGTTTGCCATCTAAAGACATGCCCAAACTGGGCCCTTCCTCGATCTTGTCGTCCCCCTCTGGGAGGACTCTCCTTCAGCAAACGGATCCATGACTCATCCACAAAGGGGTAGCCATCTAAAATAATAAGAAGATATAAGAAGCAAATGGGGGTTCTTAAAATAGGGATGCCATGGGATGCTCAAGTCACCATGGGTTTCAAATGGTTTCAATCCGAAAATGTGCCAATCACTGGGATGATTTGGGGATACCCGCATTTTAGGAAACCTCCAAATGGGGCATGACTAAGCCGCTCCTCCAATCCGGCTTGATGGGGAATTGGATCATCCAGAAACTGCTGGGATAGCACAACGGGTAAGGGTTGGCCATCAACGCCACTGTTAACAGCAGGTTGGATCGTGTTGGATCATGGATCTGCAGACGAGGTTCTCTGGGAAACAGTAGATCTGCTGGCAGTTTTTGAGCCTTACTCTGCCACGCCCGAAAAACGAAGAAATTTGAGCAAACATGTTTCAGGCCGAAAAGACATGAACAGACCCCCGAAATCTCATCATTTACTTCAAACGTCGGAAACGATTTGAGAGGCCACCCAGCAAACTCCGGCAACATTTTCTGAATGACACGGTGTAGATGACACATTGAGGAACGGGCCCGCCATAATCAAATGGGTTTTGGCCTTCCCTGTAGTAGTTCTTGACCTCACAAAATCTGGAAGGATTCCATGATTGGGTCATTTACCTTTGGATACCTTTGGTACTGACCGTCATTTCTACATTCGAAGGGGTCAATGTTTGGTGCATAAGGTTGGGCACGTGCTCATTGGTGGTCAAATTCTGCAAGGAAATCACGGTGTGGTACACGGCCAGCAATAACACCTCAGCAGGCGTCTCTGTGTTTTCCAGGATAAGTTTGCCGAAACTGAGAGGAAATCCATATGTCTTTGCATGCCAGGTTGAATAATGACAACACATAATGACAAAGTTTGTCTAATTAAATGATAACATTTCTTCCTTTCTTTGCTTTTTTCTGAAGTTGCGTTTTTTGTACTGGTAGTTCCCTTCACTTCCCTTGACGGTATTGAGGTGCCAGCAGCAAACATCAGAAAAAGACAGTACAAGAAGAAGAACACCGTGGAGGTATCCTGGCATCAGACCGTCAAGGCAAGATAGATATCACCCAACCCCAACCACCCACCGGTTGATCTTTAGGTTCCGTGTTTTCATTGGGGAGAACAGGATAGGGTAAAATAGATATATAATGTGTATATGTTTTTTTTTTGTAATATTCATATATAAGTATATAATTATATTCTAAAATTGAACCGTTTTCTGAACTCTACTTCGCAACCTCTACAAACTGGTTCCTGTGATTTTGAAACATTTTTTTGACATCTCTACTAAATGGTTTTATCAAAAAAAAACGTTTGACATCATATGATTAACATATCATGTTTACCTCTCTACTAAATGTGGATCATGGGTCTAGAGATGTTTACTTGATTTTTTTTGAAAAATCATGATTCTCTACTAAATGGTTTCTAGAAATTTCACTAAATGTTTGGTTCACTTTCCGGGACCTAGGTCATAGCATTTAGTAGTGGAAATTGACAGGGGGATTAAAATTGTATATGAATAGAAGTATGTGGTAAGTCGTTTCTACAGTTACTGTATATATCAAGCACAAGTTCTTGGCGCCATGTATTCCGCCAGCTTTCCGGCCGCTGGCGAGGCCGTGGAGGTCCTCCGACAGCACCCAGAGCACATCTAGGAAGCCATAGTCAGGGCCGAAGGTATCATCTGCCTGGCTGGAAAGTCCGGAAAGATGTGGATTTCCGAAAGGGCAACTGGAATCAACTGGAATCAACTGGAATCAACTGGAATCAGCTGGAATCAACTGGAATCAACTGGATCTTTCGGATACTTTTCAGGGTAGTGTTCTGATCTTTGGTGGAATTTCCATCCCAATTTCCATCAGGATTCTTCCCAGTGTACTCATTCTTGTTGCGTTTTTTTTTCCACCCTGGTTCTTTGTATCTGCTTTCGCCCGTTGTCCCATGATTTGTTATATCCCAAGAATCTGCTGGTCCCCAGAAGGTTCTGGTTAAATCATGTTAAATCACTTACAGTAATGCTCCCTCTAGTCGGTTCAATCTGCCCTGTTTCTTGGTTAAGCCATGTTAAACCACTAGCTTTGTGCCATTCAAATCCATCCTTGGGGGTTTCCACAAATCAAATTGGTCCCTTCTACAACCACATGCCAATGGGCCAAGGCCATCCAAGGCCCATAAAAAAAAAATGGGCCCGGGCCTCCTGTCCGAAGTGGCACACGGTCACATACAGGCACTGCATGAGAAAAATCGTGGAGGAGTAGATCAGAACCACAAAATAGCGGTAGTTGTACAATCCCACCTTGGAGGGCCACTTTTTGGAATGCCGAATCAACTGGAAGGCGCACTTCCAGCTAGTGGCAATTTTTTTTCAAATCTCTTTGGAACAATTCCTCAGAACGTGCCTCACTCCAAAAGAAAAAAGAAGGCTACAGCTACTCTCTACACGGTAATTAAATGATTCCCCAATATTCCCCAATAATCCCCAATGGGGATTGATTCCCCAGCATGAAATGGATTCAATCCAGTGAAAAATCCGCTGCAACTTGCTGATTAAAAATCTGATGCACAATTCCGCTGAGCTGCACAATTTCCCAACCACGTGCAGTGGTGATCGAAGCGCAAAATGCAATTGTCACCTGCCACGTCAGCAGCTGAAAATGGTCAGCTGATTCGACCACAAAGCCCAGCCAAACCCATCTAAAAACCAGGGTATCCATGGGTATCCTGCTTCAGAAACTCTCCGTTGAACTTGTATTCATCATATTCCGTGAAAATCATCACTGAAAATGCCTTGGTGAATTATGGTGAATTGTGACTTCGACTGAGCAGGCATTCACAGGCCGGAGCCGCAGAAGGAGCAATGCTTTGAACGTGGTGGTCTGAAGATGTTGCACGTGGCACAAAACCTGACACGAGACTCGTCTTTTTCAACAGGCACAGCAATGGAAAGAACATCCATAAAAACAAATATATCACGTGGGGTACAAAACGCAATCCAATGGCTTATAAATATCCATTAAACATATCACCATTTCCCATTCACACCTATATAATTTTCGTCTTTCTTGCTTAAATATGCAACTATTATTAATCCAAAATATAGCATATTCATAGACACATATTCAAACATATTCAAACTATACATCTTTCAGAAAACATCTGAGATTTCAGCTTCTGTTTGATGGTGATCTCGCTGATCTTCCTTAGCGACGCGGCATGATTGCTTCACTGTTTGCCTACATGATCTACATGAATGAGTCAGAAATGTTGGGTGAATGTTGGTAAACATTCCATACATGGAGCGATTTTGCGCGCTGAGTCTTTGAGAGGTTGGAACTATGTCTTGGTCCAGAAAGGAAGGCCATGAAACTCCGACCGTTGCGATCCCATACGGTCCCCATTTTGGTCCCAAATAAAGGTTCCTCCACCGGGAATTTCGCCAAGTAACAAAAAGCGATGTCGAGGTACACCTCTTAAATCCATCTGTTGCTCTAATTCCTGCGACGATCCAAAATCCAGTGGTCCAGCATCAGTTGACCAACGGCCACGCTTGGAACATTTTGTTGACATCAATGTTGAAAAATTATAACTTACGGATGTCATTCTTCATTCTTCCATTAGACTCAACTGTCATTCGATTTTTTTTTCTTCGCTCTTTTTCCCATGAAGTTCCGGCCGTTCCCGCCGTTCCCATGGGGGGCTCCTGCGGAATGCTTTCATTCCTTGGGATAATCCCTGGATTCATGGCGGACGCGAAGAAAAAGGTCACCAGAATCACGGCAGCGAGCACCTGAAATGAAAACCGGGAGGATGTTGAATGGACTTCCTGAACTGCAGTTGATATATATATATATATATGCACACAGACAATATATATATATATATCTGTTCTTAAATATACAGTAAATATTAAATATAACCATATCATATACAACATATATCAACATATATGACATATGATGTTTATGATATTTTTTTTATCCATCATTCACATTATACATATATCTCCTGAAATCTGCTGTCATCATCCCATACCATCCCTCCATCGATTGGAGGACTGGATGTTCTGCGGTCCAGGGACACACTGGGAGATACCCAGAAATGATGTCAGGATCAAACCTCAGGTTTGCACAGATTCCTCTGCTGATTTTTTGCTATGTGAAATTTATGGAAAAATCATGAGGGGAACCTTACTCTTTATTCCATGGGATAAAAGAAGGCATAGAAAAACTTCAAAAAAACGTCTCTTCAAACGTTTCTTGAAATTGCCATCCACTGGTTTCAAAGGTTCCCAGATCTCCCAAGTTTCAGCCGCGTGTCCCGCTGCAGCTGAGCCACCGGGACGAACGATCGGGAGCAAGAAATGGAAATACCTCCAGGTGACCACATTCGCTGTCGGGGGTACCGTTGAACGTAGCTATGGAAAATGGCCCATTTATAGATCATGTATGATTTCCTTATTAAAAATGGTGATTTCCCATGGTTACGTTAAATAACCAGAGGGTACACATACAGACATATATATATATACATATATATATATATATATATATACTCCATTCAGCGGTCGCCAGTCCGGTCTTGAGGGCACCAAGCTCCAGGTCCAAAGGTCAAGGTCTTGGCGTGGCGTGGGAAACTTTGGCCCAGAGGGGATGAGGGAACATATAACATCTATATATATATACATATATTATTGTAAAAAACAATCTATAATGTGTATGTGTATATCTATATATTATGTATGTATGTATATATATATATGTAAATGTGTATATATATATATTGTATATATATATATATTGTATATATAATGTGTATATATATATATATATATACATATGTCAATGATATATATATATATATATAATTAGTTGGGGGCATGGAGTACCATGTATGTATATATATATATATATTCAATCAGTATGAAAAACAAGTGGGGGTACCATATAACCATGTGTATATATATATATTATGATTTGTATACATATAATATATATAAATATATATAGTTTTAGTCATAGTTATTCTATGTGAAGTTCTAAAACAACTTTCCAGGCAAGGTCAACCGAGAATTGCATAATAGTGCATAGTGTACTGCTAGTCTTGGGATTGCAGAATATTCCAATAGTCTTCCAATGATTCTTGAGATTCTTCTGTTTCATCGAACTTCATGAAGAAAATGACACAAACACACCTCACATCAACATATGGACTCAACAGACCAAAGAAAGATATCCAGATAGAAAACAAAAAAACATAATGTTTTCAGGGTGCCCGTTCCTTTTGATCACCAAGGTGAGGTATGAAGTTTTTTTGGATACTCGAGAGCAATCACACCCTGGGATGGTTCAAAATAGTTGGGATAAATATTTTGTATTTAAAGGTATGGCCATAGCCCAATCAGAAACCATCATGATCATGGCTAAGGCTGGATTATATGGTTATGGGCCAATGGGTTAAAAACCACTGCCACGAGGATGGTCATATAGGATTTCATAGGTATCAACCTATCCGATCTTATTCACATGTGCGAAAAGGTTGAACCCTCTCATCTGAATCTCATGGCCAAACAAAAATATGTTGTTCTTTTCAATGGACTTTGCCATGTTTTACCACCCTTTCCGGGGATTCTTGGTCCGACACCACGGCGTCCAGGTGTTACTTGTTCGTCCCGTAAATTTCAGGTCCGGACAAAAGTGGAAATGGCATTGGGCCACCTCAGTTGTCCATCTGGTCATGCACTATGTCCTATTTACATTGATCATATCTACGAGCACATATCATAAGATTGTAAATGATGTTCCTATTGGGAACCATTGAGAGAATCGGGATTTTCGGGTGAATTTCCCCACCATCGCACTACATGAGCCGGAGGTATTTCCAGGTGAGTTCTCTTGGCAAGATCAGGATCCCAAAATATCAGCATCCAAGAAGGTTTTCGCTGTTCAGTTTCTTGTGTAAATCCAACCGTTTTGTGGTAAAAAAACAAGATGCAGCCCACGAACCCGAATGCAGTCACGTAGAGCATTTTTGTGAAACGAGTTATTTGAACAGTCTTGTACATTTTTCCCCTGGTACCGTACCAGTGCACTGTGGAATGTGGAAGAGGCTGGTGTGTAAAGTGTGGAGTGTAGAGTGTAAAGTGTAGAGTGTGGAGTGTAAAGTGTAGAGTGTAAAGTGTGGAGTGTAGAGTGTGGAGAGTAGAGTATAGAGTGTAAAGTGTGGAGTGGAAAGTGTGGAGTGGAGTGAAGAGTGTAAGGTGTAGAGTGTGGAGTGTGGGGCGTACAAGTGTGGAGTGTAAAGTGTGAAGTGTGAAGTGTGGAATGTAAAGTGAGGAGTGTTAAGTGTAAAGTGGTGGGGTGTGAAGTGTGGAGTGTAAAGTGTAGAGTGTGGAGTCTAAAGTGTGGGGTGTGGAGTGTAGAGTGCAGAGTGTAAAGTGTGGAGTGTAGAGTGTGGAGTGCAGAGTGTGGAGTGTCGAGTATGGAGTGTAAAGTAGAAATTGTAGAGTGTGGAGTGTAGTGTGTGGAGTGTGTGGATTGTGTGGAGTGTAAAGAGTAAAAAGTGGAGTGTAAAGTGTGGAGTGGTAAGTGCAAAGTGTAAAGTGTAGAGTGTGGAGAGTGGAGTCTAAAGTGTGGGGTGTGGAGTGTAGAGTGTAAAGTGTGGGGTGTGGAATGTACAGTGTAAAGTGTGGAGTGTGGAGTGCAAGATGTAAAGTGTAAAGTGTGGAGTGTAAAGTGTAGAGTGTGTAGAGTGGAGTCTAAAGTGTGGGGTGTGGAGTGTAGAGTGTAAAGTATGGCGTGTGGAGTGTCACATGTAAAGTGTAGAGTGTGGAGTGTACTGTGTGGAGTGTGGAAGTGTAAAGTGTGAAGTGTGGAGTGTGAGGTGTAAAGTGTGGAGTGTAAAGTGTAAAGTGTGGAGTGCAAAGTGTGAAGTGGAAAGTGTGAAGAGTGCAGTGGAAACTGTAGTGTGGAGTGTAAAGTGTACAGTGTGGAGTGTAAGGTGCGGATTTGAGAGTGTAAAGTGTGGAGTGGTGAGTGGAGTGTGTGGAGTGTAAAGTGTAAAGTGTGGAGTGTGGAGAGTGGAGTGTAGTGTGTGGAGTGCAGAGTGAGTGTAATTGGTAAAGTATGGAGTGTAGAGTGTGGAGTGTCATCGCGTGTCACAACATACCATGCCTTCCACGCAGACTGCCACGCAGACTGCCACGCAAGTTGTGCGTTGTCACGACTTGACCCAGACCTGACTGACATTGCGATTCGCAAAAAAAACACGCAACATGACACGTGGAAAGTGCTGCGCCTGCCATGCAAAATGTCGCCCAAGTGCTGCGCCTGCCACGAAAAAATGCAACTCATCTTCACACCGTTGCAAAAGGAGTGCGCCTGCCACACAAAACCGACTTTCGACACCTATTTATCAAACACGTGAAGATGTCACGAAGTGCCACGCCTGCCACGCAAAATTGGCGTTACAACCTGCTTTGACACCTTCGAAAAGGATAGGTTTTGCAACTTCCCCCATGGACACGGCGAGGCCAGAGGAAAACCAGAGACGTGAGACGAGACGTGCCGGAGCATCAATCTAAACGAGCATTTTGCGCGAGACTTCCTCCAATTTTCACATTGTGTAGCTTCAAAGTCGACGTTTTCCTACGAGTTTTCTTATAAACCTCAAAATTGGCGACCTCAAAATCGATGTTTCGTGCAAGGCCTTCCTAAATTTTCAGCATATCTCACAAAATTCCACGGACACGGAATTTGCACCTTGTCACCACTTCACGCAGCCCCGACAATGCGATTCGCAAAAACGAGCCACAAGATACATCTAAAGCGCAGCGGCTGCCACGCAAAATGACCATGATGGTCTCCAAAGTGTTGCGCCTGCCACAAAAAATGCAACGCATCTTCTTCTGAAAACGTCTGAATGTCACAAAGTGCCACGCATGCCATGCGCAACGAAGCTACGCGACGCTGGAAACCTCCAAAGGTGACCCCTTTTGCAGAACTTACCATAGGCACGGCCATACGGCCCTCACGCGGACGGTTGCGGACGGTTGCGAACGGTTGTGAACGGTTGTGAACGGTTGCGGACGTAAACGCAACGTCGAGCGAACATACCCTCAACCCCCAGACCCCCAGAGTGAAACGGGAACACTTGCTATATTCGGGAAAACACAAGTCAGAAAACTCAGGAATCTTTTCCAGTCCATTTCTGATTCAAAAAATCACCAGTTTCACTGAGCTTCAGGCACTTGGCCTGTCGCAAAACGGCCTCCGCACCAAACCTGGCGTCGTTTTGCCGGAAGGCCGAGGATCGAAACAGCTGGAGCCCAGAAACTGGATGGCTTATGTATATATATATATATATATGTAAATATATCTGGGGAGTTCTTAAAATGGTGTTTCTTAAAACGGAGGTTTCTTAAAATGGGGGATCCCCAAGTCATCACGGCTTTCAATACTAAAATATACTTACTATAATGTATATGATTTGGATGATTTGGGGGCACTGCTATTTTAGGAAACCTCCATATATAGGAAAGGATATAAGTGGGTATAATTATAATGTTAGTAGAGCAATGTCATACACCAGCCATATGGATTGGTGATTGGAATCCTACCCATCAAATGGGAACAAAAATAAGGATGGTTTACTAGTGCTTTGCTAACGTTGCTTATATGAGAGATTTTTTGTCGATTAAAAAAAGCCTAGTCTTGGGAGCCCCATGGGGCTCCCAAATGATGAGAAGCATAGATCAGCCAACGGTAGTTTGTGTGAAGCCATTGAGAACTGCTGAGTTCTTGGGGACCTTGGGGACCTTGGGGACCTTGGGGACATTGCTGAATCATATCCTATTATTCGTCTTCCGGCTATTGGGGGCAAAGAAAAATAGGGGACCCAATGCGGTTCCGGTATCGTATGAGTCAGCGTCCAGCATTGGTGTCGGATGTGTCGAATGTGCTAGAAATGTCTGACGTCTGAATATGTCTGAATAAATCATTCACAATCATGTAGAAAAATATGATGTGCCTTAGGGCCTTGTCCGCAAGGTCCAAAAATCAGCATCTTTAAGGGCTGTCACAACGCGCCAGAAACACAGAACTGTTGCCCTTGTATCGCTTGGACAAATATTCCTTGAAACCTGGGCGAAAAAGGGAAAAAACGAAACAGGGAGCCTGCTGTGGAGATGCGATGAGCATGTCTGATGTGGAGTCTATATATATATATATATTATATAATGTAATTAGCTATACGTATACACATAACTACTCTGTAGACCTATTATGTGTATATATATATATATATTTATTTATATTGTATACAGTATGTATATCACCAAGAAACATCTAAAAGTATACTACACCAGATGTCGTCTGTATGTCTAAAACGTGCCATCTTTGGGCCGTCCCGCGGGAATCCTTCCAACTTTTGACCAGGGCGCGCATGGATGTGACATATGAGTCAACACTCCTGGAAATTCATGATTCTCCATCGTTTCAGGGCTTACTAGTTTTAAGATGAATCAAATATGGGTACATATACAATCATATACACGGGTTATATACATGTCTATGATTGTTTATGCATATCCATCATTTGTATGCATGATGTTGCATGTAACTTACTTGTTGTTATTCTGTACTGTGCATATGCGAATATAGGCGATATGTACATATGCGAATATAGGCGATATGATGGCGATATGCTTCAAATATAAACATTGCTGAACATGGGGCACTCATGCAACCACAAATGATTAGTCATGCTGAATTCTGCCAATTGCAAGAATATGTATATATATACCTGTCAACTGATAGGCATCTCCATATCCAATCGCATTTACCACAGGCTTTTCAAAGCTCAAAACGTGGGGACTCAGGCCAACAAGGGTTATGAGCCCAACTTTTCCCTTTTAGAAGTTTGCGTGATTCGCTGTTGGAATTTTTGGCCATGAGATCCATATCGGAACCTCCATTGGGAAATCCTTTTTATTCAGAGAAGATGCAGCTGGATTTAGCAGTCAGGGCTAGAAGACCTCAGGGATTGCCAGAACGATCGCCTGAGTCAGAGGGCCGACCAATCCGAGATGAAGCCCAACAAGCAGGACAATGCGTGGGCAAGGGACGTGGTCAGGCATCTGCAAGACCCTGTTTTGTGACTCCTCCTAGCAAAGTTCCTGGATTGGGGTATGACAATGGTGGGGATGACGTAGCTGGACATGGTAAGCAAACAGAAGGTAGAGTTCCAAGTGGAATGCAAACTATGGGTAGGCTGGATAGTCGTGATGATTCTGGTTTGCCGGCACATGACAGTTTGCAAAGGGCTCTTGAGAGGGAGCTTGTGGATCAGCTTCGAGAACAGAATGCGAAGTTGATGGCTCAGCTGGAGGTGTACCAGCGTCGAAACAGTCCGGGCTCTGGAACTGGAAATGGGTCCACTCAATCCTGGGTTGAAGTGCCTAGCGAGAAAGATGGAACTGAGGGGCGTCAGTGCAGCACACCCCGAAATGGTAGTCAACATGGTGCTCATCATGGGAAGGTATGTAGATTCACTCCGAATGGTACCAGAATTCCTGATGGGACACCTCCCAAAGATGAAGGGGAACACATCCCAAAGCCTCCAAGTCTTCCTCCTGTACCACCTTTTCCAACTATGGCTGGTGAAGCAAGTTTGGAGATGTGGGATCGGTATGAGGTGATGGATGATGTTTCTAAAGGTCGCATGGGAGAAAGGGCTTGGAAACCACCGGGTGAAAAGCAGCATGAACCCACACCTGGGGAAGCTAGGGCGTTCTGGTTGGAACGGGAAGTCCTCTCTTTGAAACAATCTTTGGCAAAGATGACGGGGGAGAATCCTTTTCGTACCAGTGAATATTGGTCAAAGGGATTTCATCCACCAACTGGACCACCTCTGTTTTCTGGGTTTCCAGAATCCCCAACTGACCTTGGCAAGCCTGATCCGGAAGCCGCTGAGCGCATTAGCCGAGCGAACCCTGGTGATCCAGATAGTCACTTGCGTGGCGGAGGCGGGGAAACTGAGCTTCAAGATCGGGCTGGCACTGCGATGGGTGATGACGTATGTGGGCAAGCTCGGGCTTGGCAGAGCGATCGCAGAGTATGTCATGACGGTCGGGCTGTTGCATCGGCTCAACATCAAGGTGTATGTCATGACGGTCGGGCTGTTGCATCGTCTCAACATCAAGGTGTATACCCTGACGGTCGGGCTCTGGGTGCAAAGTCTCTTCATCCCGGTGTATGTCCTGACAATCGGGCACATGGGGTGGAGTATCTACATCCTGAAGATCCACAACGCTCTTGCCACCTTCCACGGCATCACGGAGGTGGGGGTTTTGGAGGAGGAATGGATTCGATTCCAACGTCATGGGAATCAGGAGGGATCGGCAGCTCAACCAAGGCCGACCTCCCAGAGTTGCCGAGTACGGCAAGTCCCTTGCAATTTGGGGATTGGATCCACCTTTGTGGCCCAGTGATGCGGGACCTGTCGATGGTTGCAAGCAGGTGGTGGGACTTGACAGTTCGCCAGGCACAGGTCCACTATGCAGACTGGAAGCAAGCGACACCGCTGCAGAGGGTTCAAATTGACCCCAAGATCCCTGATGAGCTCAACGACAGGGTCTATGGCCGCACGGAGCAGAGGGGTGTCCACTTGTTGCTGAAGTCTGTGGCACCGGAGATTCAGCAGATGCTGGTGACGGATCGTCAGATGACTAGTACGGCAATCTTGTACCGCCTCTACATCAGGTATCAACCAGGAGGCCCAGGTGAAAAGTCGCTGATCCTCAAGGAGCTGACCCAACTGCCCAAGACGAACACCATGGCTGAGCTGGCGACGGCACTGAGAAGTTGGAGGCGACACTATGGGCGAGCCCGAGAAGTTGGTGCCAGTCTTCCAGACGGAACACTTCTACTTCGAGCTCTTGAAAGTGGAGTGCAACTGGTGGCCAAGGAGAATAGCCAGGCGGCATTTCGCCTCGCACAGAGCCGCGCAGCTTTGCAAGTGGACGAGATTCCTGAGCCGGCGTCCATTTGGGACTTTAGTCAGTGTCTGCTGGCTGAAGCGGAGACTTTGGTGCTGATGAGTTCAACAACGTCGTCATCAGCAGAGACAACGCCCTTGAAGCTGAAGGTCATGGAAGCCAATGACACCAGTGCTGCAACAAAACCTCAACAAGAGGGCAACTCCACTGGAAAAGGACGTGGAGGCACAGCCGATGTACCATGTCGGTGGTTCAAGAGTGATACAGGCTGTCGCGCTGGCAAGTTATGCAAATGGCTTCACAGCTGGGAGGGCATCAGTGACAAAAATGCCCGTTGCTGGAACTGCGGGGCGAAGGACCACCGCAAGCAGGACTGTAAAGTCAAAGGTGGTGGATCAAAAGCCAAGGACGAAACCAAGGTTTCGGGGGGAGGAAATGTGGCAACTACCAACAAAGCTGCAGGTGGAACTTCAACCGGCACACCAACGACGCCATCCAGTATGACTTCAACGCCGACGAAACCCAAAATCAACGAAATGGCAGCTTCCTCTGCATCTACGACAATGCTGTCACCGGGGGAGTTGAAGACAGGCAACCCTGGAATGGACAATGTGGAGTCGGTGAAGGGCTTGGGTGACGGAGGAACTGGAGGAGAACAAGCGGCCAAGAATGAGAAAACGGCCGAACTACTACATGAAGCCACACAGCTGTTGAAGACGTTGCGAGTTCCACAACAAGGCCCTATGTTGAAGGTGATGCAGATTGGTGGCCTCGATAGCACTGAAGCCAATATGGTGCTCATCGACTCGGGCGCAACGCATGGACTTCGACCAGCACGAGATCGTGATGAGTGGCAGAAGGGGGAAAGGACAACGGTTCAGTTGGCCAATGGTTCCACGGATGCCTTTAGACTGAAACCTGGAACGAAAATCCTCCTGGGGAACCCTCAAATGACAGCATCATGGATTTTGCCAATGGGCGGACTTGCTGAGCTGGACTTCACGATGAAGTGGACCGGAAGCCAATGCCAGTTGCAAGATGATGTTGGTCGAATGATCGATGTGCAGGTGGTGCATGGATGCCCCATGATATCACTGGCAGAAGGCCAACGACTTCTGGAATGGCTGGAGGGCTATCAAGTTCACCAACAGCGGAAGCTTGCAATGGTGAGAACTTTGTTGATGGATGAGCAGCAGGTGGACAGGAGCAAGCTGGATTTGGAGTTGGCGATGACTTTCAAGCTGCGCCAACATTTTCCACATCTTCCTGACGAAGTGATGATGCGTGTGGTGCCTCACTTGGAGATGGTCAAGGCAGAGGACTTTGGATCACGTCTGCCATGGAATAGGCACAAGCGCAGAAGACTCATGAAGGCCAAACACATTGTGCTCCACCTGTTTTCTGGCCCTGATCAAATTTTTTGGGACAGGCGATGTGCCACTGCCGACACTGAAGTCCTATGTGTTGACACCACAGGCAACACACCAGCCAATATCCACGACAAGAACGTGTATGGGTTCCTCCTTGCTTTGTGTGCCAGTGGAAGAGTGAGATCAATTTTGGGTGGCCCACCTTGCAGAACGGTATCAGCACTAAGGTATCAAGGTGATGATGGACCTGCAATGCTGCGAACTGATGAGCATCCCTATGGGTTGCCAACGCTATCACCGTCGGACATGGAGTTGGTGATGGGTGACACGGTCCTGATGTTCAGGTTTTGGTCGCTTATGCTCATGGCGGAGGAGGTACGGGAGGAAGCCATGCCTCAAACTCAGTTCTTTATGGAACAGCCTGAAGACCCGGCCAACTACCGGCATCCTGAAGATGTCCGCCAACATGGGTACTTCTCAGTGTTTCGCACTCAAGAATGGCAAGCATTTGCAGCTGCCTTCAACTTGGTTCAGTATCACTTCGACCAGCATCCAATGGGACATCCAAAGAGAAAGCCTACATGTTTGGCAACCAATGTCTCTGAGATGCAGCAGCTGAATGGAGTGCGAGGAGGTCCTGAGAATGAAGGAGATCTCACAGCCCAGTTCAGGGCATTGCCAATGGAGCAGCGATGTGAAATGTCAAAAACGTGGTCCGCGTGGGCCCCTGGTCTGAAAGAAGCTATTTCCACGGCCGTGAGTAGGAGGATTCAGTGGCTTGAGAGTGTTCCTGATCAAGTACAACAACCAGCTCTCAAGACCCTGAGTTCGACCGCTCTCGAGTCCTGGAAACAGCATTATCTACATGATCATATGCCAGCACGTCGAGACTGCCAACATTGTGTACGGGCGCAAGCTCGAGGACGCCCTCATCGGCGAATTCAACACCCTGAGGCCTACACCTTGGCAGTGGATCTGAGTGGACGTTTGAGTCCAGGCATCAATCAGCAGCGGAAGCAATGTCGCTATCTCATGGTTGGGGTCTATACGTTCCCAGTCACCAAAAGCGGCGATCCTTTGGTTGACATTGATGGCCGAGAACCTCAAGATCAACAGTTGCCTGACCTGGATGAGTTCACGGGGGAGCTTGACCCTGCTGCTGGCGAAGATCCACTGGAGGAACATGAAGATGCTGAAGTTCAAGGTGAGGGTGAAGATGGAGGCAATTTAGCTCAGCAATCTGCAGTTGGCAGCTTGGACGTCTGGCACCGATTGGTTGAAGAATCTATCAATGTGGCAGTTCGGAACGTGACTCTGGTTGAGGTGGTGGAAGGTCGCACTGCACAACATGTACTCCCGGCCTTGGCTAGGATGTACAGCCGGTTACGGCAGCTTGGCCTACCGGTAGTCCGTTTGCACACGGACAGGGCAAGAGAATTTACAGCCTTGCCAGTGCGACGCTGGGCCCAACATCGTGACATAGTTCTCACTATGACCAGTGGAGACAACTACAAAGCCAACGGCCGCTGCGAAGCTGAAATTGGCATGGTGAAGAGAGCAGTGCGAACAGTTCTCTCATCTGGTGGGCACGACATCAACTGGTGGCCACTGATCGCGATGCATGTGGGCGAAAGACGGTTTCGAGCTCAACTACGATCTGTGGGGTATCCAGTTGGTGATTTGCTCAAGTTTGGGACGCGTGCCTATGCCCTTCGAAAATGGTGGCACAACCAATATGAACCATGGCGTGATGTCCGAGAAGAAGTTGTGGTTTTGGGTCCAGATGCTTGTAGCACCCTTACAACAACCAACTACTTTGTCCAGGCGGTGGAATCTGGCAGGTACTTCTTCACGGACGATGCCATCAATCTTGACAATGTGGCCGCGGTCCCAGGAGCTCTTGCAGAAGCTCAAGCACAGGTTGAACAGCCAGCAGTTGCAGCTGTCGCTCCACTACCAAATGCCGCAGCTCAGGTGCCAGTGTATTTGCCTGAAAGAGATGATGTGTCTCGCCCTGCAGGCATTGACATCAATCCTGGACGTCGACTACGGCAAAAAACGGCTCCAGCAATGCTCAATCGATTGTCACAGGCGTCAATCGAGGGGGAGAGTGGTGGTGGTAGAGAAGATGTGTTTGAAAATCTACAAAGGGCCAACACTCCATCCGTGGATAGAGAATCCGATGAGGACAGCTGGACATTGGGAACAAGATCATCTACACCATCTTCGAGGGATTCTGGTGGAGGGGATGTGGAGGAGGCGCCTAATAGTCGGTGCGGTGGCTCAAGCCCGACAGCCTCAAATGACAACAAAGAAAGGTTCCTTTGTCAGATGCATCACAACATGCATCAGCTGGTCCAGGAGGAGATGGCCAAAATCGATGCGACCACGGTGGATCAGGCATGGAACATGCCAGTGCTTTCAGAAGTGCTGATGCGGAAGTTGGCCATTGAGGAAGAACTGCATCAACTTCGAGATGGAAAAGCCGAGCAGGCACAGCAGGCCATAGAGAACCAGTTTTTGGTCACAAAGACGATTGGCAGTAAAGAGGTGTGGGAAGCTCTGGCCGATTGGGAGCCATCGATCAAAGCTGAGTATGACCAGTTGGTGCACCAGAAGAAGGCGGTAGTTCAAATAACTCAACAACAACTGCGAGAGCGAGCTGCAGCTGCTGGAGTTGAAATTGAACTTCTACCTGGAAAAATGGTGCACACAAGAAAGGCTCAGACAGGTGCCTACAGAAGCCGTGCTGTCATTTGTGGCAATTATGCTGCCCCTACCGAGCAAGATGTTTATGCCGGGGGATCTGACAGCACCCAGGTCAGAGCAGCTTTGAAGACAGCGGCCTTGATGGACTGGAAAGTCATGGGCACGGATATACGTACAGCCTTTTTAAATGCCAAACGCAGGGATGAGACCAAGCTGGTGGCAATGACGATCCCTGCCGTTTTCAGGGCACTTGGCCTTGCGACAGAAAACGATGTGTGGGTAGTGGAAATGGCCCTTTATGGCCTTACCACAAGCCCCCGTGATTGGGGGGTCCATAGGGACAACACACTACCCCAACTCCAATGGCATCGAGTCAACGATGAAGGTGCGGAGCTCACTGGGCACTTCGAAAAGACTGCTGAGGATAACCTTTGGAGATTGGTGGAGGTGGATTTAAATCAGCAGGTGAGATGGGGTGGGCTGTTGTGCGTCTACGTTGACGATTTGCTTTTCTGTGGTGAAGAAGCAGTACTCCAAAAAGCACTACAAGCTGTGGAGTCAACATGGTCTTGTGCGACGGCTGAGTGGGCGTCAGCTGACAAAGCATTGAAGTTTTGTGGGATGGAAATCAAGCTGGACAAGAACGGCGATGGCCTCCACTTGACTCAGCACGACTATGAGCAGGAGATTTTGGACCGCTGGAAGATGGATCGGAGCTCTGACTTCCCCAACTTTCGGGTTACTGAAGCGGACTTTGAAGCGGTGGACTCCATTTCCCCGAGCGTGCTGAAAGAGGCTCAGGCCTTGGCTGGTGGTTTGCTCTGGCTATCAACGAGAACCAGGCCTGACTTAGCCTACGGAGTTTCAACAATGAGTAGGCTCATGTCAAAGAACCCACACAAAGCCCTTGAAGTTGGCACTGCTCTTCTGGCCTACATCAAGAAGAACCCGGGAGATTTACACTACTTCCGGGACATGCCAAATGAAGGCTGGGGTGAAAGGAACCAGCTGAAGCTTCAAAGGAGCTGCCGAAGTCTAGAGGTTTTCTCTGACATTGCCTATGCCTCAGGCACTGGATTTCGCAGTGTACAAGGGATTGCTGTGTTTTATGGAGGTAGCCCCATCAGTTGGCATAGCTCACAACAAGCGTTTGTTACGCACAGTACGGCGGAGTCAGAGTTGGTGGCCTACTGTGAAAGCCTTTTGGTGGGAAGAGCAACTGAAGCACTCTTGTGTGCGATTTGGGGTGAACCTTTGCGCTCCAATTCTTTCAGCAGAGTCATCTACGGTGACAACATGGCAGCCATAGGTTTGGCGAACGGAACCACTTGTGCATCATGGCGCACAAGACACTTGCGTATTCGAGCGGCGATCCTTCGAGAAGCTCTCGATGATGCAGGCACAGCTCCAGGTGGAAGTTGGCGTTTGCTGCATTTGACAGGATCTGAGTTGGTGGCGGATGGATTGACCAAACACCTTCTAGGTCAATCATTCTTCAGATTTGTGGAGGATCTTGGCCTGAAGCGGCCTAGCTCTGAGATTCCTACTTCCGCATCACGGGAGAACCTGTCTGCGGGGAGTGGTGGCGATGGTGGTGCTGCGATGAGAGCGATGGTTCTGGGCAGCATGCTTCTGTCAGCCGCAGAAGGAAGATCAGAGGAGGAAGAGGAGTTTGATGACTTCAAACTGGTCTGGATAGCTGGCATCGTTCTCATGACCATGGGGGCAATCTACACAGGGCAAATTCTTCATAGTGTTTCGAAGTGCTGCCTTCGTCGATTGCGAGTGGTAGAAGAAGGTGATGGGCATAGCTCTAGATTGGTGAGAGAAGGCAAGAGCTCTTCTGAGGGCGAGGGCATCGTAATGGTGTCTGAAGACGAAGGTGAAGCTGAGGAGGTACGAAGATCTGCAAGACGGCGTGGAGGAAAAGGAAGAGGGGCCTACAACAAACAAAGTATGGTGCCGCGAAGTCGGGACCCAACTATGAGTTCGTGTCCATTGACCCCTGGGCAGGGTCCTTCTGCCTCTGCGATCTTGACCCCTGGGCAGGGGCTCTCTACAACTGCAATTTTGACCCCTGTGCAGGGTCCTCCTACGGCTGCGATCTTGACCCCTGTGCAGGGTCCTTCAATGACGGCGCTTTTGACTCCTGAGCAGGGTCTCTCTACGGCAGTGCTTTCGACCCCTGTGCAGGGTCCATCATCAAGTTTGCAAAGCTCTCCAACCCCTGAGCAGGGTTCTTTGCGTGCGGCTGAGCATTTGATCCCTGTGCAGGATCCACCTATGACAGCATTGAGGCATATTTCCATGACATCACGGTCACAGTCGGGCTCAGCAGAGCATGGATCGGCTGCTGAGCGTGTGGTGCATGCGGCGGCTGATTTGGCAACGAGTCTGGCTGCGGTGGTGGGCGACTCAACGGCAGCTGTCTCTGAGGGAGCACCTTCCGGTGACAGACCGGACCATGAGATTAAAAATCCATGGAATTTGTTCCAAAGAATGCATAAGAACAAAGGATGGTCCCCGGCCAAAATGGCGGCAATGTACGACCGCCAGAAGAAAGTAGGAAAGCCTTGAGCCTCGAGCACACGAAGGTGTGCGGCATTTCTTTTCACAACGTTTGCCAAGGGTGGCAAAGGGGGAGCCTGTCAACTGATAGGCATCTCCATATCCAATCGCATTTACCACAGGCTTTTCAAAGCTCAAAACGTGGGGACTCAGGCCAACAAGTATATATATATATATATATATAATGACAGGCCAGTTCCAAATACAATGAGGAAGAATTTCGGTCAAAGAGGCCTCCTGAAACAGGCGCTGGCATCGTGGTGTATTTGGCCGAGCAGCTATCTTCGGGTCCAGTGAGCCAGGGAATTCCCAGCCTGGGAGGCTGCCAGGCTGATAACCCATGATAACAAGATGCAGAAAAGCTGGAAACCCATGAGAAAACAGAAAAAACAAAAAATCTGAACCAGTGGTCGACTCAACCTTTTCTGAATCTTTGGAGTGGGAGTGTGCCAACAAAAACTCGGACTATAAGTGTATAGCATTGGTCCTCGAATTACCGTCACTATATGTGGCTACAGGGGGGAAGGGCTGAATGCTTACCTGATTAGCAACTAACATGGAAACACAAACCACAGGTCACTGGGTGAATACCCAGCAAATGCCTTCATGAGGCGTTTGCGCACAAATAAATTCATCACTTCAGAGTCTTCGAAGCCGAAGTAGAATCGTAAAATGATGGCGGCAACATCCAAGTCAAAAGGATACGAAGATCCATGGATTTTAAACACTTGCAGCCATCAGAAAAAAAAAGCAAGGTGAGCCATGGCCGATTAGGGGTAACCTTCATGGATCTTCGTTTTTAATTTTTGCTTGTGGCTAACCTCTCTGAAAAACTGGGTGGTGGATACTACCCTCTGGTTATGACACAACAGTTTGCATTGCTATAGAAGCCATGACCCATAAAACTAGATGATTTATGAACCGTTTATGATGAAAAATCATTTCATAAATCCCTATCAACAATCGTGGTTTTCCATAGCTAAGTTGAATAAGCAAAGGGTAGTGATCATATATCCCATTAAATGATACTAAATCCCCTTAATTTCCATGAACCATCCCTATTGTTGCCGCTAAACTCCGGGCAAATCAATGCTGCCTTGGCGGAGGCTCCTTCAACCGAAGCGGTTCACATAGCCTGAGGTGTGGCAGGACCCCGGTCCCCGGGGTTTAACTACTGAGATTCTGAGATTTAAGGTGATTTAAGCAGCAAAGCACGGGGATTTAGAACTGATCCATGATAGCTAACTTATTAACTTGGTTTCTAACTTCACTGTTGATTCATGGTAAATGATGCGATTGACACAGAGAAAAATTGGAGTTTACAAACCAACTTAGAACCGGGGGCCTACCTTGTAGGCTTTAACATTACCATGTTTTACCATGTTTTACCCCACCCCCGTGCACAAATATACCTGGTAGTTGGTCCGGTGAGGCAAAAAATGTTCATGCCTTGGCAGCAACGCCTGATTTTTTTCCACAGCAAATCGATGGAAACCGCGCGTGAAACCAGCCGAGTTCAACGGCCGTAGTCAGCGGCTGCTGGAGCGAGGTCCCCCTCCAAATGATCCGTCAGAGCCCAGTCCACCACCTTTCCAGTGCGGCATCACCAGAGTGCTACAGAAAAACGGCCGTAGGTTTACCAATTATAAATGGAGAAATCACTGGTTATTTCTATGGGATTATAGTCCATAAATGGGGTTAGAAGTACTCAAAAAAGGGCCATAACTGTACAATCCACACATCGCATGGTGGGTGTTTTTGTGATTCAAAGGTTGTGTCGCCTCCCAGGGTCCTCCGGGACGCACCAAAAAACGACTGATGCCTGAGCGATCGTGGTTTTCCCGGCTGGGATATGCTTGAAACCCCCAAAATGAATAGGTCCATAATAGGTCCATACATCAATACAAAACCAGGGTGTCGTTTGGGGGTAATATAATGTAATATATTTCATATGGGTGGGAAAGGGATTGCAATGATATTGCTTCCAGCCTGCGGTTATGGTCACCTGTTCCGAAGAAAACGGTTATTGCTTCACTTTAGAGCCAAGTTGGGGGGGTACTCCGGGTACATCAAAACATATCAACACCTTAGGATTCATCATGGTTTCGTCATAAACTGTGGAATCTCCCTAGAGAGGTCCCCCAAAAAATGCCCCAAAGTGTGAAACCAGAGAGCGAAAAAAAAACGATATGTCCTGCGTGGTTTCTAGGTTTCTAGGTTACCAACTTTTCAGCATCTGATTTGGGGGTTGGTTCTTGAGCATCATACGGTCAGCCCGCAACAGACATCTCCCCGCAACGCCAAGACACATGCGTTGCCAGGTTTGGGCGCCTGCTGCCCGCTGTTCTGCACGGCATGACGCAACAGCTGTCCCAACACTCCTCCGTGTGTCACCTAGACGTGGGTAGCGGTGAAGGAAAGACAGGGGCAAGAATGTGTGAAGTGGAGTTGTAAAAAAAAACAAGTAGAGTAGAGGGAAACCATGGTTGTTACCTCCAAAATCTACCTCCAAAATCCTGTCCCAACCAAACCAATTCTGGCAACAGGATATCAGCAAGCCGCGATAGTCTCCCCTGTGGGACTTTTGATGTTTTTTCTCCAAAAATCAAATCGGCGGTAACCAATACATGTCCATGGCCCGGTCATGGGTCAATGATCCATGATGTTGCCAGTTTTTCACTGTTCATATCTCGAAAGAAAAACAACTCTAGAACTGTTCATATCATCCGGATCCCAAACATTTCCGTAAGGAGAGTAGCATGGCTTAGCATGATGACTAGTATCCAGTCATTTCCAGTCTACAAGTATCAACTTTCTGTTTGGGATCTCCCACAGCTGCCCTCTGGGATCCAATACTGCGATCACCATGCGTTCTGGACCGGGGTCAGCCTGGCCACAGCGATTCTAAGCCATGGGCACTGGTATATCGTGGTAGTTATTATATATTATATGGTTAATATATGGTTAATATATGGTTAATATATGGTTAATATATGGTTAATCCGGGTGCCCGGTTTCTCTCACTTTTCAGCCTCTTCCAAACATTGAACAGCTCGTAGGCGAACTTCTTCCATACTTTCCTAGGAAAAAAAAAGGACCCCGTGCTGCTGGTGAAAGCGGACCCCGTGCTGCATCAGCATCCCATATGGCATCCAACTGGAGCCATGTCAAGCGTCACCACCAGAAATCCTCTGCTGGGAGATCTCCTCCTTCACCTGACCAGGTGACAATGGACCAGCCCAAAAAAAAATCCACAGGTACCCTCTGGTAAACTAACATAGCTATTGAAAATGGCCGTTTATAGTGGATTTACCCATTAAAAATGGTGATTTTCCATAGCTATGTTAGTTTACCAGGGAGTACAACATCTCACAGAAAGATACCAAGGTTTTCTATCAGAAACTATGACATGGTGACATGGTAGGATTTTCATCCACATGTTGCCAGTGTTGCCAAGTTGCTCCCAAAATATAAAGTTGTCTCTTAGAATTATCATGCTGGCAGGATTGAAAATGCCATTGTTTTAGAACCAGAAATGATACATATATATATATTTATATAATATATTTATATATATTTATAATATAGTTATATATATATACATATTTTATCACCCATTACTTTTTGTTGCTTGAATACCTATATCATCCTATATCATCACGAATACTGTATCATCACCGTCAGTCATGGGTCTCTTTTGTCAGTCATATATTTCCTTCTGTAACCATGCTACGGTCATTTCCCCATATTGGCTGAAGGGGAAATCTTAACCCCAAACCCCTGGTTTTCCGCATGAAAAATCCTGTTGTGAAACCAACCCAAGGACATACTGTGGATGGTTGCGAAATCCTGCAGCTGCACCACAGCTGCAGGATGGTTGAAAGCGTATGTAATGGGGCACACCACCTTTCAACTGGTGCAGGATTTCTTCCATCCATTATTATCCCAAAAAAAGGCCGCTGCCATCAGGTCAAGCTATGTCAAGCTGCTTCAGTGGAGCACCAGTGACCTCAATGACTTCGGCAATGGTTTTTTGTTACCACCCAAAGAATGGGGGGAACCAACAAGTATTGCATTATCTATTTCACTTCTGCATTAATATGTTGTCTATATTTGTTCAACTGTCTAAATTCTGGCCGTTTGGAAAAATCAAAGGATTGGTTTCAGGCAAAATCTCTACCGGAAACCATGGATTTTCTAGTGAAATATATAGAGATTTCCTTTAGTTTTTCCCTTAAAACCAGTGTCTTTGGAAAATTCGAAATTTCCAGACTGGCCTACAGAAAATGATCATGTCCCGGTTGCAAACCCGTCCTTTCATCAGTGAGCTGGACATCAACCAGATAAAAAAAGATGGCACATCCCTGCGATTTCTTCATCATATCGCGAATCTTAGATACCCCCAAAAAACAACACCAAGTCACCAAGGTTTAGGGTATCTAAGAAATGGGTAAATCAAACCGAACATAAACCTAGCAGAAAACCTTGGGTAAACATTGGGTAAATCATTTAGTCACAAAGGCTTACCCAATGTTTTACCCAGTCCGTTTTCCAACCTGAGGAGAACACTGAAAATCTTCCAATCCCCTGCATGCTTTGCAGCAGCTTCGTCTTTGCCTCAACAGATCACAGCAGTGGCCGTTTGTAGGTATCAGACTGGGGGTCAATGGCCATTTGAGGTTCCCATTTATTTGAGGTACCTACCAGGACCTACCAGATATAAGGACTATGGAAGGGCTATGTAATGGATTCTGAAGTTCCAGAAATGTGACATTGTCTCTGTCCTTGGGTGTTTCCTGTTTGGGGTGGAACCGGGTCAAAATATGCGTCATTTTTGGTTTTGGTTGATGGTAAAAAAATTGAGGTTGAAGTCCCCTTGGCACTAGCAAAAACTGTGCATTTGCATGCCTGCGAGCAACAAGAATCCGCCCACACCGCTTTGGCGGTGAAGGCGTGCTTATTGGGGGGCAACAGCAACACTAAATGCTCAATGACATTTGTTAATATAGCAGTCGCTATATCAGCTTTAGCTGAGGGGGGGGCCAAAAACGGTTTCGCACCGAGACCAGAATACGGTGGTGTTTTCGAGATTTTTCGAGGATTTTTGGGTGTCTGAGCGCAAGAGGGTATTGAAATGGAATTTTGGGTCATTTTGGTAGCTTTCCGGCAATGGAAAAACGGCCAAAAATGAAAAAAACATTGTACATAGCAAGATTTTGCAGGGTTTTTGGATGCCAGAGCATTGAAAACACTGCAAAAACAAGTGTTTTGGACTGACGTTATAGCAAAAAACGTGTAAATTACCGTATGCTTGACTGGAAACATTACAAAAACACTGTCAAAAGCAATGTTTTGGAAGGATTTACTGCCTTTATGGCAAAAAACGTGTAAATTACCGTCTGTTTGACTGGAAACATTGGAAAAACACTGTCAAAAACAATGTTTTGGAAGGATTTCTTATATATATGTTGGAGTTGGCTACCGGCATTGGAACATGGAAAAATTGAAGAAAACACTGAAAATAGCGGTATTTTCAACGGTTGGGGAGATAAGGGAATTGGAAGCATTGTCGAACATGATGTTTTCGACCGGTTTTATGGCGACAAAAGTGTAAAGTACCGTGCTTTGAAGGAAACCATTGCAAAAACATGGAAACACATTCAAAGAACACGGGATTTGGGGGACTATCTAGGCGTCGTTGTCTAGCTATTTGAAATTCCGCAGCTTGGAGAGCCTCCAAGGGAGGGAAAAGTGAAAATTCCATAGCTTGGGAAGCTGTCACGGCGGGGAAAAGTGAAAATTCCCTAGCTTGGGAAGCCCCCACGGGGGGGAAAAGTGAAAATTCCCTAGCTTGGGGAGCCCCCACGGGGGGGAAAAGTGAAAATTCCCTAGCTTGGGGAGCCCCCACGGGGGGGAAAAGTGAAAATTCCCTAGCTTGGGGAGCCCCCACGGGGGGGAAAAGTGAAAATTCCCTAGCTTGGGGAGCCCCCACGGGGGGGAAAAGTGAAAATTCCCTAGCTTGGGGAGCCCCCACGGGGGGGGAAAGTGAAAATTCTTAGCTTGGGGAGCCCCCACGAAAACCACCCTTAGCCCCTCTCACGGACCGAAATAAACCTGCGGTGTGGGCGGCCACCCCACGCGAAGCGGGGTGAATTACTCTCAGAAAAAACACGTAGTAAAATTTTGGCAACCACATGGCAAACATAGATGATCATGCACGTGCAACCATGCAACCATGTGCAAGATTCGGAACGCTGCCAGCACCCTGCTTGAGGAGCATTTGTGGTCAAGCTGGTCTAATTATGCAATTCTTGCAGCAACCGCTGGACACACGCACGGCATCGCGCTCCCTTTCACGTGCTTATCCTTGCTTCAGCAAAGTTGGAATCCCAACTCCACGACTTATCGCAGCAACTATGGATTTGGCAGCGTTGCCACCTTTGGGCTGGATGTTTTTGCCCTGGGCTATTCCTATCGAAATTCCTGATGAGAATGAGAATAAGTAAAGCGATTGTCGTTGAGCCCAACGGGCATCATGTTCGGACTAGTAGTAGTAGTAGTAGTAGTAGTAGTAGTAGTAGTAGTAGAGGTAGTAGTAGTAGTAGTAGTAGTAGTAGTAGTAGTAGTAGTAGTAGTACTAGTACTAGTACTAGTACTAGTACTAGTACTAGTAGTAGTAGCAGTAGTAGTAGCAGTAGCAGTAGTAGTAGCAGTAGCAGTAGCAGTAGCAGTAGCAGTAGCAGTAGTAATAATGGTGATAATAGTAGTACGTAATGAAACAGGATCGCGGCAACCGCGGTACCGCGGTCACTGCGGTCCTGTGGTAACCGTGATTCGGTTGACGACGACTACTGCTACTACTGCTACTACTACTACTCCTGCTGCTGCTGCTACTGCTACTGCTACTGCTGCTACTGCCACTACTGCTACTACTGCTACTACTACTACTCCTCCTCCTGCTGCTGCTACTGCTACTGCTACTGCTACTACTACTACTACTCCTCCTCCTACTGCTACTGCTGCTGCTACTGCTACTGCTACTGCTACTACTAGTAGGAGTAGTAGTGAAACAGGACCGCGGCAACCGCGGCAACACGGTAACCGTGGTTGCCGAGGTCCTATGCCGCAGTAGTGAGAGCCGTACTAGCGGTGGTAACCAATAGAGCAGCTGGAGCGGCACCGCGTTCAGTTGTAGTAGTAACCGCACTAGTACCAGTACATAGTAGTAGCAGCGGCAGCAGTAGTAGCTTGCAATTTCAATTTCGCTCCTCATGTGTGATCGCGATTCGAAGAGCTTAATTTCCAAAGGCAAAGCAATCCAAATTGAGGCACGACCAACAACAACAACAACAGCAACACATCAAAGGAAAAATATTTGACGCAAAAAACGTTTATGTACATTACAGTTGCGTTGGGTCAAATTCGGGGACATGGCCGGAATAACTGATGAAAAAAACAAAATCCTCACAAGCGTATAGCAACATTATGAAAACAGCTTTAGGCACATGGCTTGCCTCAAAACCATTGCGAGCAAGGACTGGTGAAAATTCCACATCCAGAGATATCAAGTTAGAATAGTGAAAGCTGTCGCAGTTTTCAAACGATCCATTCTCAATTTGCAAAATTACATGGGGAATGGCAGGCCCAAGCGAAATCGCAAAGGACTGCTGATTTGTTCTCGTCACCATCCCATTTCATCCCAAGCCATCCCAAGCCAGGATTTGAATGCCTAGACCATATGAAACCGCACTATTCATGGCCACATCAGAGTCAAAGTGCGGATCATCGAACCCAGGCCCCATAGTAACCATAGTATTCAGGTTTCATAGATTTACTTGGGGTTACAGTTGGGGTTATGAACGAAGATAACCAGGGTGATAACCAGTATGTAAATAGTATGTGTATTATATATATATATATAAATATATTGTATGTATTATGTATATAGTATATATACAAATATATTACCAACTTTTTAACTGGAAGTGCGCTCAGTTAAGTCAGGGAGTGTAGACCCACGACTCATGAGGCCGCGCCAGGTGACTCATTCCCTCGATCACTCCAAGATTCCACTCGTTCAAACGGATGTCCTGATGGGTCGTTCGTGCGGTTGCTCACGGTAACTAATGAGATTTAACATGGGATTAAGATGGGTACCAATAATGTTCAATAGTTCACATGGACAGATGTTAAATTTACCATTGTCCAAGTATTGTTATTAGTGGTTCCTAATGGAAGTTAAGGGCTATTGCTGCCTAAAACTTTGGAAAAACAATGGTCAATATAATATGGATTGTCAATGGTTCTTAGATGCCGTTGTGTCAGTTCTGAAAATGATAGGAAGTTCTGTAGTTAAGAATATCGTTCTGGCTGAATTGAAATAGTTGAAGTAGGGCCATTTGGGGATGATCCCCCTTACTAACCATTGTTTTAGTGACTTCACATTAATGTTAGTAAAGCAATAAGAAACCATCCCCAATTCTACCATGAATTGGTAGTATAAACGTAAACCATCTATGGGTGGCTTATTGTTGCTTAGTTACTAACGGCATTATACTTCACCTAGGTTTTTGGACAATGTCATTCCAAATATAATGTGTTTATGATTTGAAAAATAGTAAATGTAAATCAATGTGTTTATAATGTGTTTGTTTATGATTTCCAAATATAATGTCTGTCCAAGTCACTTAGAATGTAAATCAAACATTTTCTTCATCGGCACAGCCATGGCAAACTAAATTCAACTGTCATCACTTCCCATCTATGAGGTCTCGTCCCAGATCTGCTGCTTGATGAAATGAAATCTGGGTTCCTACAGTGGGTTGCGAAATGAAATCGCCTGGAAAAAAAATCGGACCTGTCCAAGGTTTGTGAATTCTTTAAAGCACCCATTCTATGGCGGGCCAACAGGCGCGGGCAAGACAAGGTGTTTGGCCGTAGAGTTACTATACCATAACTGCATACTTTGGTACCGCAATATACCATAGTTAGCATATCAGCATAGAGGATACCAAACGAATAATACGATAATAGTAGGATTACCAAAAGCTCTTAGGATAATGGTTACTATCCTTAAAGCTATGGTATATCCCATGCTTGTCAAAATTACTCATCATAGTAAAAGAAAATCAATCAGATCACACAGTATACAAGATCCGATATATAAACCGTTTTTAGTTACCTTGTTACACCATCTAGAAGGTATAGATTCTCTATATATTCTCTATCAGATTGTAAGTCGAATTATACTATAGATATATCCTATCATATACAAAAACTTAAATATGTATATTATTAATAATACAATTGTAAATATAGGAAAAAAAAATATATATATATATATATAATATATATAATATATAATATATATATATATACATAATGTATATATCTTCCCATCCCCACCAGAATCCTTTGCGACCACGCCTTGTACACCTCCGCCGTCACCGCTCTTGCGATGGCTTGCGCCGTGTCCGCGGCGCGCTGCAGGGAACTGGAGAGGATCGGCGTGGAGCGCTCCACGGAGACAGACAGGCGGTGCCGACTGGGGTGTGCCGAGCAAAGGCTGGGAATTCCGAACAGAATTCAAAGTGGAATCATTGGAATCACCATCACCATCGTCATCCTCATCCACATCCTCATCATTATCATTATCATTATCATATATTCTGTTTATAATGGGAATTACGCTAAGTATAATGGGAATTATACCAGAATGGGAATATATGATATACAACAAATCATCATCGGAACATTGTTTACAATGGGAAAAAAATGGGATGATCTAAGTAACACGAATTTTCGGGGAGAAGCAACAAAAACAAGGGCCCTGGCATTCGGAATGGTCCAAAATCTGCAGCTCAGGGTCAACTGGGTCAATACCGAATCTGCACACCTCAGGCTCCACATCAACAAGAAACTTTCAAACGTTCGCAGAAGTGGTCCCAATTCAGGGATAATTAATGATAATTACAGAATTTCAATATGTTTAAATACTTTGAATATCTTTGAATGCTAAGACGCATTCAGACGTGGAATGAGAATGGCACAGCCCAATTCAAACCATCCAGGGCTTGTGGGGGACCTGACACCGGCCTGGAATATCACTCGAACATCATCATCACAGTGGTCCAACTGCAAATCGATAGAACAGTTGTAATCATTCCAAAACTGACGGTGTCGCAATTGGTAATTTCGAACGGTAATCCCCAAAAAAAAGTTCGAACAAAAAATGGTCGTATTTTTTCGAATTCCATATCTTTACCATTTCTTCAAAGGCATCGCTATTCCGCCATGGCACCGTTCTGCTTGCAGGCGGCCACGTGCATTCAGCGGCACATCCGTAGTGCCTTGAACACGCAGCTGCCTGTTCCAATCCTTGGTGGCATCGCCATGGCGAAGGGTACCATAGAATACCATAGGTACCATAGGAGCCACAAAATTGATGTGTGAAAAAACAGTTCTAGTACATCTTGATAAAAATATCTAATGATCCCATTATGATGATCCATTTAGCCCATCATTTAATTGACGATTTTTGGAGTTGGAGTTGTGAGGTGTAAGATCTTGAACCACACCCAGAACGCCAATGAGGCACCCCATTTCTCAGCTCTTTGGGACCGAGACGCAGTCTCACCGTGGCGAACCACGACACATGTGAAGGGTAGCTGTGAAGCATGCCTGCCGCCAACAAACCATCCTTGTGTGTCTGCAAATTGTTGGCTTAAAACATGTTTCTATTTCATGATGATATATGATATTCCAATGTCATATTATCCCCCACAATGACATCAATAGCTATGTTTTTTGATCAAAGAAGCAACTTATTGTAATGTCAACCTGGATTAATCAACCCTGACTACTAAGTAAGGTTGCCCCCAATAATAATTTTCTAAATTACTAATTACTAGAATTGCTAACCACCCCATTTTCAAAAACTGTTTTTTGGCAACATCCTGCGTGAACATAAAGTAATGGATACCTACAAGGTCATTGGTTTATAACCCCCATGAATACTATAGTTATATATCATGTTATATTCCCCATAAACCATTCAATTGGCCTAGTTATCATATTAGTTATCTGCACTTGTCGCGATTTCCTTTGGGGCCTTTGTAAACTGTCGGCCATCGGCCTCACTGCCAACAGCGCACTGGCCACACAAACGGACGCGCGATGGCACCGATGGCACCGATGGCGATGCGTGGCCAACATGGTGTGGCTGGTGGCCGATCTATGGCATGCTGGTAACATCCTAAAAGCCCCCCTGGCATCCGATGTTTGGTGAAGCACCATGGCAATTTTGGGATTTATTCCATTTTCACAAACATCTTTACAAATCTATATCCATACATCAAATAATTGGGTGCCAAGATCAACAAAAACTAGATTATTGTAGCACGCTGAAAGTTGCACCATTTGTGAATTTGTGGTAAGATGTTGACCAGTTGGTGGTTGCTCACCTCTGGGTCCTGGTTGAGTTATTGGGGGGATTCCGATTAGACAACCCAGCGGGGTTATCCACCCAGGTCGAAATTTGGGCACACCATATCTGGATCCATCCATGGATATTGCCAACAACAATGTGTTCAACAAAACCAAAGCTTAAGTAAAGTGAAGCTTAAGTAAAGTGTTTCTTGTGGTTTGTAGCGAGATCGTCTGCAGCCATGAACAACTTTGGACCTCTGCAAGGTGTTGGGAACATGCACGACAGTGATGGAAAACTCATGCAGAAACATGTCAAAACATCAATCATTTTATCAACGTTCACCATGTACACTACATACTAGAGTTACCAGAATCAACGGTTGGATGGATTTGTTCCATACATACATACATACATTACATGACATCACATTAAATTACATTACGCTACACTACATTACATTACATTAACACATTACATTACATAATATATTACATTGATACATTACATTACATTGATACATTACATTACATCACATAACATTACATTGCATTGCATTACATAACACCACATACATGCATACATACCATACCATACCAGACCATACCAGACCAATACCAGACCATACCAGACCAAACAATACAATACATACATACCATACATACATACCACACATAGCATACATAGCATACACAGCATACATAGCATACATAGCATACATAGCATACATAGCATACATACCGTACATACCGTTCATACCGTTCATACTGTACATACCGTACATACCGTACATACCGTAAATACCGTACATACCGTACATACCGTACACACCGTACACACCGTACATACCGTACATACCGTACATACCATACATACAACACATAACATACATACATACCATACATTCCAACCATTCACACCACACATATCATACATACCACACATACCATACATACCATACATACCATACATACCATTCATAAAGTACATATAATACATACAATACATACAATACATACAATACATACAATACATACAATACATACAATACATACAATACATACAATACATACATACCATACATACCATACAATACATACAATACATACAATGCATACATACCATACATACCATACAATACATACAATACATACAATGCATACATACCATACATACCATACAATACATACAATACATACAATACATAGATACAATACAATACAATACAAAACAATACCAAACAATACAATACATACAATACATAAATACATTGCATTACATTGCGTTACATTACAGTACATTACAGTACATTACACTACATTAAATGACATTACATTACACTACATACATTGTATACATTACATACATTACATTCATTTCATACATTACAGAATATACTACATACATTACATACATTGCATACATTACATACATTTCATACATTACATACATTACATACATTGCATACATTACACTACATTGCACTACAGTACATTACATTACATACATACACAAATACACACATACACACATACACACATAGATACCTTACCTTACTTTACCTTACCTTACCTTACCTTTCCTTACATCACATCACATCACATCACATTACATTGCATTACGTTACATTACATTAATCAAATTAATTACATTAATTACATTAATTACATTAATTACATTAATTACATTAATTACATTAATTACATTAATTACACTAATTACATTAATTAAATTAATTACATTAATTGCATTTTA